GTGCAGTGACTTGTGTCTTTTAAAGCCAGGAGGATACCAGTGCGCATGTCCGACGGGAATTGTTCTTAAGGAGGACGGAAAAAATTGCGGCTATGGTGAGGTTACTCATTTGATGTTTCAAGCATTACAAAGGCGGGGAGGGGAGATTTGTTATCATTGATCGTGCATATCAAGAACTCGTCTTAGATTCCCGTGGAGAAGGAGAGATAAGCTTTCCAAATTTCGAAAAAAAGTAAAAATGAGAGCAGCAAGGTGTAGGTTATGGTCAGTGTGTACACTGTACTATGGATTTCCTACAAGTCGTTTCTGGATTTCGTGAGTGAACTTTATTCACAAATTAAGGTATGAAGCGAGGTTAATCGTCAGAAACATATTTCTGGCTTTTATTTATTTACTTGCTGTTTTTGTTGTTGTTGTTTCTTTTTTGCCTTCAAGCTTTGTTCCAAAAGACAAGCGACGAACTTTTTTTGCTCTTCGCCGAAGCGAATCATGGTGAAATTTACAAGGTTCCTTTAGCAGTGGCGAACACACCTTGCTATCTGCTTCAAATCAACATAAATATCTCCAGGCCCGTGGCTGTTGACTACGACCCAGTTGAGGGTAAAATCTATTGGACAGATGTGACCCTGAAACTGTTGGCAAGAGCATTTCCAAACGGATCGTCAGTTGAGATCATAGCGCACACTGACGTGGTAACGCCAGATGGCCTTGCAGTAGACTACATTGGAAGGATTCTCTACTGGACTGATACTGGAACTAGCAAACTTGAGGTAGCACGACTAGACGGATCATTTCGGAAAAGCCTCATCACAACAGGGATTGAAAATCCAAGAGCTATAATTCTAGATATACCTGAGAGGTAATCAAAGTTTTAAGTCTGTTGTTTTAATTCAATTTACTCTACTTCAAACTTGTCTTGATATTTCCCAAATGAATGACACAGAGAAGAAAAATAGTTCTTAAGAACTGGAAAGTTTCCTGCTATCAGAAAAGGGGGGGGTGGGTTGTCACATTTAGAACTTTCGTTGATCTTGAGAAAGCTTTTACGTCATCCTAATTATGCTTTTTTTTACACACCAATTTTAGTATAGTAGCTTCCAACTGGCGCGAAAGTCTTCCAGGGCGAATCTTGAAGACAGCTGTTTCATTCGGAGAACAGATAATAATTAAGGATAGGTATCCCTCTATTGCAAGCAATACTGAAGCTATGAAGGTTATCACTGAAGATATTGCTGTTTCCTGTAACAGCTGGAAAACTTTCATTCATCGTGATTTAACTATGAGAGAGTTTTTATCTTATTTGCCTGAAGACCTCAAAGTTTGGAAATGGATGATAATGATAACTAAGTTTTTTATCGATACATTGCTAAATGGTGATAAAGCACTGTGTTTCAACACTGTGAAACATTTATTTTAGACAAATGTACCGGAGTGATTGGGGATCATCACCAAAGATTGAGCAAGCTAACATGGATGGGTCTGCCAGGACAGTTATTGTAAGCTCTGGACTTGTCTGGGTCAATGCACTTGCTCTAGATTCGCAGAATAAGCTGCTGTATTGGTGCGATGCAAAACTCGATAAGATAGAAAGGGCAAACCTTCAAGGAAATAACCGAGAACTACTTCTAGATTTGTCTTCTTACAACCATCATCCCTTTGGACTTTCCCTTTCTGGTGACACTCTCTACTGGTCGGACTGGAACAGTCAGAGTATTCATAAGTACAATTTGACATCTTCTCAAAGTGACGTGTTGGTCTATGGAATGGGAAGGCCGATGGAAGTGCATGTTTATGATCAGACAAAAACAATCACAGGTGGGTGCACCGTCTGGAGTGGCTAATTCTATTGCTGAAACCTTTACGAAGATGACCTGGTTGGCTTGATGACAGGTTTACTTTAGACCTAGTGAAGTATTTTCATATCGTAAAAAAATGAATCTTGATGTTGGCTCGGCGTTGTCATGACCTTTTGCCATGAAAATGATTCTCGTGTCAATTTAATTACTAAGGGCTATTCAAACGGTATTGAAATATTTGACTGAGTATACATAACATTCATATAATTGAGCAGATAAGGTTGGAGATGGAATGGAATTCCCTTTTTTCTCCAAACACGGCATAACCGTCTGCTAGTGACATTGACTACACAAAGCTTTGATCACAGTTAAAACTTTATGCATTTTTCTAGGATCAACAAGCTGCTCTCAACTAAATGGAGGCTGTAGTCATCTTTGTCTTCCAAATCCGAGTGGGCATCAATGTTTTTGTCCAGAGGGAGTTCAGCTGAAGCCTGGTAATGCCTTCATTTGTGAAGGAGGTAAGGAACTAGAGACATCGAATTTACATTAATTTTTATTGCATGGTTGTTATGTTTTGAAATTGTTAGAGGAAGTTAATCGTTGATTACATCCATTCAGTGGAATAATTTTAGCAAGCACACTGAATGGTGGTAGAGGTAGTTTTTTAGATATTATCATACAACATTTGAATCGATACAAAATGTAAAAAATTGTATTAAATGTCTGATTCATGCACCGATTATGCCTTCATCTTTTAATGAAGCACCTGTCACGTTCTGGGAACACTGAAGACTGTAGGAGGTGTTCTTTTCTTCGGTTTTTTCAGTTCTTACGCATCTTTTAAGCTCTTCCGATATTTTGTGTATTTTCAATCTCGAATAAGGCACGTTCAAGAACGAACCAGTTGCCAGTTTAGAAAAGAAGAATAATTATTGTTTCACTTTTTTTCATAGAGAGGCGTTGTCAACAGCTGTATGCCCCGCCACATGGAAGTCTAGAGCCCTGCTCTAATTTGCCGGGACAAACCTGTGAGTTTTCCTGCAACAAAGGGTACATTTTGACGGGATCAACAACAAGAACATGTAACAGTAATGGAACTTGGACAGGAACTCCAGCTCAGTGTAACGGTAACTTACCTGAATTACTATTTTCTTCTTCCATAATGATTTTAGGAGAGGGGTTATGGGGATGGGTGCTTTGTGGTGAGTGCATCTTGAAAGGAACCAGACATATCTCTCCTTGTCACCAGCTGCAATATCTCTATTCTAAGTGTAGTATTCTAATTACTGCGTTTCGTTTCTTAGTTATCCTGTCTCTCATTCTCTAACTAGTCGTGAGTGCAACAAAAAAAGATCTTCCGAAACACTCGCATCCATTCTACATTGCTTTTTTTTCCAGTTCTAGAGTTAAGAGTCTTTCATTATAATACTTTGAGGGACAAAAACTCATTATTTTGTCTTGCGAGCAAAGTTCTTCTGTATACAACAGTTGTTTTGTTTCCTTGACATTAGTGTATTACTGTTCCTCATATTCATTCATTATTTAAAGCGCTGCTGCGGATTACAAAAATCAATACAAAGATTGTCCATCTTATGCAAAATGACCATTTGTGTCATTTTTAAAATCAACATCTATTTGTTTTAAGTTTCGTCTTATTTAAACACTCATAAAATGTCTTACTTTGATCATCCCACTGAAAGGGGTACTACTGACCTCTTCATGCGGCAACAAATTGTGTATTTGGCTGTGAAAGGGGTTATGGGAATGCCGACAAAAAAATTTCTGGTTGTCGGCTGCAAAGATATCATCTCGTCTTTTTATACGTAAAATCGGAAAAAAAGCACGATTGATAAACATGTAAATAAAAACTAAGGATGAAACGAGGGGAAAACAGTCCGAGCTAATTTCCGGTATCTTATTCCAAACTAAAAAGGTTACTTTCGATACCTGTACATATATATGTATTCCAATTAAACAATTTTTTTCCGTTTGCAGACACAACTCCTCCTTCTTTTAATAATACTTGTCCAGAGAACATAGTGGTCTATACTCCTGAATGCTCATCCAGTGCTTTGGTTGGATGGAATGAACCAACTGCTGATGATAATTCCGGCCATGTGATTGTTAACCACCCTTCCATTCGACCGTTAGCTCAATTGAGCATTGGATTCTATTTTATAATGTATTCAGCTTCAGACGCCGACGGAAACAGAGCTAACTGCACTTTCATGGTGCAAGTTGCAAGTACGTCGTCGAAATAATAGTGACATTGACTATGTATTTGAAAAACGTTGCTTGTTTTCTATCACTTTTGACAAATGTTTATATATTGCTCGTATACAATTCTATAGATGTCTATGTTTTGTTGTACCTATCTTCTAAACTATTGCAAGCAAAACTGTTTCCAGGTAGATCCATAGTTTCTCTCTTGAAAATGCAATAATATTACAATAATACTGAGTACAAGTGAATTATATTACTTGAAACTGCGTCAGCTCAACATAATAAAACTTTATTTTCACAGGAAAATCCTGCATTACGCTGCAACCACCATCACATGGAAGTTTGAACCTTTCTTGTGGCTTTTCATTTGGTTCCCAAGCTAATTTTACTTGTGACAGGGGGTATCAGTTAATCGGGTCTCGAGAGCGTTTTTGCAAAGAAGACGGCTCTTGGTCAGGAAACACCACTACATGTAATGGTAAGTATATGTTACTTTGCGTGTAAGGTTGCGTTTAGTGTCCAGTCTTTCGTCTTTAGGTTTTTTCCCAGTGCAGGAATTGGTTATACAACTCAAACAGTCTTAGCCATTTCACAGTTAAGTGACAACCCATGACTAACAAATATTATCTTTTCAAGCCTCCTGAAAATAGTTAGATTTGTTAAGGTAAATTGGAGAGGTTTCAAAGACATGGTTTAAATTGAGGATTCTTGATAGCTTCATAAAAGTCAGGAACTTAATCACATGATTTCTTTTATCTTAAGTTGTGAGGTGCCAAGCCATTGAGCCTCCATCTCATGGAGCTGTTTCTCCAAATTCGTGCAGATCAGCTTCTGGTGTTTATTATAAGACACAGTGCTTTTTATCGTGCAACGCTAATACCCCTGGTTACGTACTGGAAGGCGAAAGTAGCGTCTCCTGCCTGGAAAGTGGATCGTGGAGTGCAGATACAACAAAGACGATTTGCAAGGGTACTAAACAGAAGCACATATATTTTTGTAATTCTTACAAAATGACACATCCTCAGTCAGATAAGCATTAAAAGATTGAGAGCTCGAGTAGGCGTTAATAATTTATGTTTATCCCTATAGCTTACTTTATTTATTCCTAAATATATATATACTTTTTTTTTATGATACCATAGACGTCCAACCTCCTAGCATTCAATGCCCACCTAACCAAGAACTATCCACAGAAACTGGTCAATCGTACGCAATAGTGACGTGGGAGGTACCAATCCCTTCCGACAACTCCAACATGTCACTAAGTCTGAAAGGTTTGCGCCCACCTCAGCAGTTCTATGTTGGTAGACATTATGTTAGATATGAAGTCACAGACACCGCTGAGTTGTCAACAAGCTGTACATTTTCTATTAACGTTAAAGGTGCTTATTTTCTTCTTTGTTTTGAGCTACACTTCAATAGATGTTCGATAGCATCATATCATTTGTGACTTGAATATATTGAGGATCTCAATGGGTTAACCTCTAGGCGTAAGAAGTGACACATTTTAACCCTTCGTCGTCAACCGAAAGATGACCAGAATTTAACCTTTAGCTGTAAAAGCAATCGCCCTATTGAGACCCTCCAGTAAGTTTTGGGAGATGGAAGCCCACTTTCGCAGCCAATACTGCTTTTTAAAAGGAATAAAGGCTGACTGCAGCGAAAAACCAAAGTCAGAACTACTAGACTGTACATGGATAAGTATTTAAAGTTAAGCAAGGCGAAAAAACAAAACATGTTAGAAGAAAATCTTTGATTCTACGTCATCTTTGTATTACCAGTAATTTCACTCGTTCGAAAATCGCATTATACTTTTATTGAGCTTTTTTTAATAAAGACACTTAAGTTCTAACTGTAAAATTCTTTGGACGTAATAAAAGAAATAAAAATCTTCATACATGTTATTCAAATGATTATGTAATAAAACCAATAATTTTAGCTTTGGCTTCACTGGAAGAGCTTTTTTCAGCATTCCAGCAACTTGCATGTCATACCTTAAATTTTGAAAAGGATTGATTCAATTAGTTATCTAGTTATTAACTTATTCGTTTTTCTACCGGTTTCGCAATGTATTAATTATTTTTTTCTATTATCCATGCAAAAAAAAGATGTAGAACCTCCGGTCATTGTTTCTTGCCCCGACGATATCTTCCTTTCGTCTGGAAAGAGGGATAATACGATCTTTTTTCCTGGAGTCACAGCAACGGATAATGTGGGAGTGTTCTCCATTTCACTTAGCAGACCGAATGGAAGCGAATTCACTTGGGGCGAGCACAATGTAACCTGTATTGTAACAGATAAAGCAGGAAATGTTGCCGAATGCAATTTCAAAGTTATTATTACCGGTAAGTACATGCATATTGATAGAATAAAAGAGATGGTGAATTCTACGCCCCATGAGAAAAATATATTTTGTGCAGCCTTTTCATGTCAATTGGTTAATAGATAAGCCCGATTGAAAAAAAAAGATAGAGATTATTTTATATGGGCTTACCGATTTTAATTGAGGCAATTAGAATGCTAAAAATATTTTGGTATAGTTATGCTAATAATATTATACACGAGGAGTTAGAATCAAACGTGTTCTGACAGTCGAAGATTCTATCTTGGATCATTTTTGCATGATTTCACGCCCATTCTACTGATACATTGGGTGCATGGTTTCTAAAAGCAGCAGAAAAACTGCTAGTACTACATTATTGGTAACGATGTGAGCAATATTCTCATACACCATTTTTCATTGACGTTTGTAGAACCAAAGTAATTAGAGTAGCTAACGAGAAAAAAATGTGCGTGTATCAATGTTGTCAGTGAGAACTTGAAACATTGAAAAGATGCAAACTATCTAATGCGAGGGAGACTGGAGAGGCCTGTTCTGTGATGGTTCCGTATTTAGGTTTACCATTTTCTTCTCCCCGTAATCCATGATAACTTTTAACTACGGAATGAAAATTGCTTTGAGCCTGTTCCTCGACCTCATAGAACCGTAATGAGTGTTTGTCTACATATCTATGTACAAGGCATACAGAAAAATTGAACTGAAATAGCTCTAAATAAATATGATGCTTTACTGAGGTGTGAAAGTGTTAATCCGTTGTTTCTTTTCACAAGATAAATCATGCCCTGATCTACCACCACCTGAGAACGGCGCTAAGGCTTGTGAGATGTGGCTGACCGGGGTGTTCTGTACCGTGCATTGCAATGAAGGTTACGGGTTCGTTGAACAACCGGAAGATGTGTATTTCTGTACTCCGGGAGGAACATGGATGAACGCATTTGTAAATGGCCAAAAAGCACCTGCTTTTCCAGACTGCTCAAGTAAGAACTAACTTTGTCATGATTCTTGTCTGTATGAATACTTGTATCTTTAAAACAGGTTAACTAAAAAAACATGATGTCATGCATAATGCGGACTTCTCCGTGAACAGGCTCGTGGAGTTGAATCGCAACTCAGCGAGGTAACCGTATTTTATAGAGAGGTGATATAGTCTGACTTCTCAGATATAATCATCTCTCCATAGCGATGAATCAAAGGAAAAGTATAATTGTTTTTGTTTGGCTCTTTTTTATGTTTTGTTCCTTTTTTGTTTCTTTTTTTGTCGGTGCTTTGTTTTATTGTTAATTTAATGTTTCGCGTTCGTTTCCTTTTTTGGTTGTTTTTTTTTTTGCTTATTTTCCAGTCTAGTATAAGGCAAAAATCGGCCGAAACCAGCCAATGAGGTTTTCTTTTCAGAGGTGTTTGCTTAATCTGTATTAACTGTTAGTGATACTAGCAGTAAATCTGAGTATTAACTGTTGTTTCAGAGACGTATATGCCGAAAGAGGCCATAGTGAATGGAGACCTCCATTACCTAGTTGATGCGTGTGGCGACGAAGCAGTGAGCGAAGTTATCGCCAGCAACTTCATACAGCTGTTACAGAACTCAGTTTTTGGTAGCGCTGGAGCCTGTAATAGTCAGTGCACAATCGATAATGTCGAGGTAGAATGTGGAGAAACAGGGACACGCAAGAGAAGAACGCCCAGTGTTCCTCTTACGATGCGTTTTGCTTTAAAAGTTCCTCTACCAGTCAACGCTTCCTTGGTTGACCTGAATGAAACCGCAGAACTACTATCCAATGACTTATTATCAACATTAAACGAAACTGACCTGAATCTGAACATCAGTGGAATTGTTATAAAGTATGACACTTCGAGAGCACCACAGCTTCGCCTTGTGAGTCTCGTTTGTGGCAAAGGACAAGTTCAAAGAGGGACGCATTGCGGTAAGAAGTTAGTTACTAATGCTAACTAACACATCTTTGAGCGAAGAGTTCTAAAACTCACTGTATAACAGCTACATCACTCGTATAAGAAGTTCATTTTGATTTTCGCTGATAGAAAAATCATCTTGGGTTGTGCATGGTGGGGCAGTGGACTAGAGTTTATTGGAAATGGGGGTTATTTTAAGCTGAGGATTAATGGAGATTGAACATATCTATTCTTTTTGTGGCATTTACAGTGGGATGAGAATATCACACTGTATGACTCTTATAGGATTTCTTAAAAGGAATTATTCATTGGCCGTTTTCTTATGCAATTTTTGTTTTGGATTTTAGTTAACTGTCCACTTGGCTTTTATTTTACCGAAAACGATTGTCGAGCATGCCCAGAAGACCAATACCAGGACCAAGAAGCGCAGAGCTCTTGTATATTGTGTCCATCTGGGACGGTAACCTTTGGAAAAACAGGATCAAAATGGCGAAAAAGTTGCCAAGGTAACAGCTGTTTTCTAAAAGATGTACAAACAATTTTATTACCTTTCTCATCTTGTGCTTGTTTTTGCATATCTGTTCATTTTTTTTGGTTCTTTTTGTTTTTGTTTTTGCTTGCTCTTTCCTTTCACCAGAAGCTCCGTAGTCTGATTCTTTGCGGTCTTCATTTCTTTCCCCTAGAAATTCCAAGTATGTCCAGTAATGAAGAACAAAGCGGCTTAAAGCCAGTAACTCTTTATTCAAGTATTGCAGCAGGATCTGTACTGTTTATTATTTCCCTGATTATCATCGCCATCTTCTGCGGAAAGAAACATCGTCGGTGAGTTTTTTTTCGCTATGTCCGAATAGTTACAGTCGGGTTACCTTGACAAGGATTAGGTATCCGACAAACATCCTCCAATACGAGATCTTGGTGGGTTATCTTCTTAAAGGAGGATTTATTTAACCCATAGCGCACAGAAAGCCCTAAACAAGTTATGAAGTTAGCCTTTCTGATCCTGATACAGTGTAACAAAAATGAATTATCAAAAGAAAAGAAACTTTGTAAAATTTGAGGAAGAAGACTAAGAGGTAGAAAGGTATACAGTTATATTTCGCAATCACACTTCAAATGGTTTCTTTAACAAGTTAACCACAGTGCAGTTCACCGCACAGTTTTTAATCTCAAACCTGTTCTATATTGTTTTCTGAAAGTGGAGATATCGAACTCGCCTTGTAACTTTCACATAAACGTTGCTCGCAAAAGGGCTATTGGCGATGACGATATTTAGGTAGACTCGATTTCCGCCGTTTCCTTGAGTCTTTTCTTCGCCTGGTTCGTGTCCCGGTAACCCTGGCTTCTCCTTATTGTTCTGGGTTCGATCCACAAATGTTTAACAGCTGAAGTCCGTACTTCGCTTCAGATGACATACCTTTTTCGCTATTAGCTACTTCTCAACCGATCCCCTTCTCCCACCTCCCCCTCTACTGAAATAACCAAACCGCTGAAGAGACCGCTGCTTTGACTCGGGAGGGGTGGGTGGGGCGGGTCTTGACCCATCTGACTCTCCTGTCCGCCGTTGCCATTAGGTGAGTCGACACTACGCTTTTCTTCCTACATACTATCTTTAAATCGTAAAACAAAAGTAATTATAGCGATCACAATAGAAATTAAACAACATCCACTGAAAAAAGAGTTGATATGATTAGTTACTTACTGTTGGTACCCGAAGACAACTTTTCACCATGTTTATTTTGTTTTGTCTCACAGTGGCGTGCGCAGGACAGCCGCTAACCGGGGTATAGACATGGGGCATCGCAATCCCGTATACGAATTTGCCGGAGATGACCCTCAAGTCGATGATCCTGTCTATATGGAGATCGATGTTTCTAAACTACGTACCAGCAATGATTTGCCGTTAGACAACAATACGGACTACTTCGCTCTAAAAGACGTACATCAAAACGATTACGAAAGACTTGAATTCACTTACTCCGAGGCATGAAAGATCCGGATAAGAATAGTGTTCTAGAACATATCGCCTTAATAAGAGATGCTATTTTTAGAGACACTAATTGGTGTCATTTGAGAATAATTATGCACCTGTGCTGAAGTGCTTTGGAGACACTCAAAGTAACATGTGATTTTAAGACACGTTAGTTTTGTCAGTATGGAGCGATAGAAAATTTAAGCGGAAGCTAACATTTCTTAAAAAGACTTTGGTCGCTTTTTCCTACCACTTTTGTTCCAAAAAAAGAAAAGAATGCAATCAGCGTAATATTCTAAAGCTGAAAATAAAAGAACTGTACGATACACCGATAGTAGTGAAACTCCAGCCATTTTTAGAAACATATTTTATCAAGACTGCAAAAGATCGGTTGTAAGGCGAAACGTAACAGAATGGCGAGGGTTTAAACAGGGTAGTCAGTTTACTCGGTGGAACTCAAGCTGGCTAAAGCCCCAATTAATGAGTTGGTATATATATTTCTAGCTTAGGTGGAACTAGGCATGGTTATTAACTTCGTCGGACACTTGCTCCTAAAATCAATGGAGCATATAAGAAGTAGCGGCAAAAAAGGAAAGATGCAAAGGGAAAAAGAAGAGATCGGACATTTTGTGCTAGTGTCTTTTTTTATTATTGTCTTTTTTTTTTCATTAAATATGATTTGAAAACCTTTTTCCAAAATAGGAAAAATTTTAGAGTTAGGTTTTCTTCAATCTACACATTAATTTGTTTACGACCTTACCTCTGATGTTAATAACTTGTTATATCTTGATATCAAGTGTGAGTAAGGTATAATAAATTTCTCTGGGTTTTTCTCTCGAAGGTGTCCATTTCATGATTAAGCAGGAATCTGAAGCTATACTATGTAAACGTCACTTTTTAATTCGTCAAGGATATGAGTTTGAACGTATTCTTCATTTAAAAATAATAAAACTTCAGTCCTTTCGAAACTTTTTGCGTTATTACTCTGTTGTATGATTCGTGATGGGGCCTTTAGTCTCAGTTATTGGAAGTTAAAGCTCTGCTTTACTATCGCTCTTAGCCAATCATAAAGCGCGTTATATCGGCCGCAAACCTAGGCCTTATGAAACAATGCACTAATTATTTATCTTAGAAATATTCTTCATTTAAAAATAATAAAACTTCAGTCCTTTCGAAACTTTTTGCGTTATTACTCTGTTGTATGATTCGTGATGGGGCCTTTAGTCTCAGTTATTGGAAGTTAAAGCTCTGCTTTACTATCGCTCTTAGCCAATCATAAAGCGCGTTATATCGGCCGCAAACCTAGGCCTTATGAAACAATGCACTAATTATTTATCTTAGAAAATATTAAATACTATCAGTGAGACTAAAATTTTGAAATTACAAATATGTAAGAAATATATATAATTTATGGATCATCGTTAGCATAACCGGTAAAGGGATAAGTTATGATCATAAATGTGATAACGACAATGATGATGGTAATGATGATGATAATCATGATGATAATCATGATGATGATGATGGTAATAATGATGACAATCCTTTTGCATTGTCATTATTATAATGACGACAAATAGCTAAGGATCAGCCTACGGATCTTCAGCGAGAGAAGCTCTCCCTTTTTATTTAATGTTGATAAAATCCAATTTTCTCGATAAAAAAAAAGCTTCCTGCTCTGAAGCGGACCTTAAAATGACTTCTGTGATCAGGCAATTCCGGCCAAAGCAAAGATCTCTGCAACAATACTAACTTTGGAAGCAGAAGAACTCTTTAACCACATCTTTCACTGCTGCCTTACGTCTCTCATTTTCCAGCAGTACGGCAATGGATTCAGTGATGAGTTCAACTGAACAAGAGTTATTGCTTACTCAAAAAAATAGAGCAAAAATTGGCGCATAAGTTATGTACTCTACGAATATCATTATAACAAATGGCAGATAACAAACTAACAACACACGTGATATCCAAAGTGCACTGGAAACTGTTTTTCTGTATCGTACAATATTGATTGGTACTTACTTCCTATTTGGCCGCGAGAGGTAAATAATTTCTTGGACTTGAAACTGGTGATGGCGAAATATACGATAGATTTTCACATAACAGAACGTACACGTTGATTTGCACAACAACATTATTGAACTGGCGGTAAATAAAAGAATGTAATATCCATATAGGTAAACTACTGCGTTACTACTGCTTTCAAGCCAAGAAAAAATTACAAAGGCCCAGACCCGTTTCCTAGTGATGGTTTGTCTATATCTTAACCCAAGCACCAGCGCGAACAATCTTTCCACACTTACTGCAGTTGACGTGAACAAAGATACGCCGCAGAGAGATAAGGCCACAACTGGAGAAACATATTCCAGATATTAACAGAGACTATAGTAGTGCGGAGACAACATATAGGCAATATTCAAGGCTGCAATATGATTCCGACGCAAAGATCCGTCAATGCTAGGCAGCTGAACAAAAGTTTTGATGGCGGATGAATCGAAGTAACCTTTTGAAGGGCAACAATTATTAAGAGGTTTCCTGGAAAGGATGTGATGGCCGCAAACAAAAAAAAACGAGTGAAAACCTATTACAATTTGAATTAAACTAAATACGCTAAAACTAGATACACTTTGGAAAATTACAACGAAAATAACAGTGAAGCCTACAAAATACCAAAAGTTACATTTGTTGCGATGCTGAAGAAATACTGCTGAATTATTGCAGAGCGGCGAAGAGGCGGCACGTAGTGCAATACGTAGAGATATGATTGCATGAAACATAATATGAAATATAATCGCAAGCGGACCTACTGAGTAAAACTAACAACTTCGATGAACAACGCCTTAAATACTTGCTACGTTACGTAACGTTACAATGCACAGCGCACGCACAAAATTTTTTACTGTAGTTAAGGTCGCTTGTATAAAAACAGTAGACAAAAGAAATAGACGTTTGTGATCTACATGTTTAGAACACAAGGAAAGTTTATAAACGCGGTTAACCGATAAAAAGTGCGATATATTGCTTTTATGAAATATACTGTGGGTTTAACGATGCAATAAATTATAAGTTTGACCAATCAGGTCGTTCGTAGTGTCTCAGTTTATATCATAAGTTGTTGTTGTCTTTAAGTAGAGTAAGTGAAAGATGAAAGGACATCTTAATGATATTTTAAAATTTGAATCCTTCACCATATGAGGTTTCCTGAAATCTCATGAAGGGGAAACTTGATATTGGCGGACATCATTTAAATTTCAAAATTTTACAGCACCATTCAGTGAGAAAGTTAATGCACATCTTCCACTGATCAATACAGATAAAATTTTGTGAAATCAATTTGAGCGAGAAAAGCTTTCAAGCTATTTTACAGTGTTCAGAAAAAAAAAATGAAATTTTGGTTGCAATTTTCACTAACCATAATGCTGTGTGAAATTCCAAATCGAGAGTTGCAGTCCAATTTAATCTTTTGAGTTATAATTCCCTTCTTTATCCATACATAATTTTTTTTGGTACGCCGCTCAAATGTTTCTACTTGCAATTTACACATCACATCTGGGCATCAATTTAACAGTTGGCAAAAATCTGCGCAACAGATTGCATTGGATAGCAGTCTTGGTTTGGAGGCCTTTTACGTAATGAGTACTTCGGACAAATTTGCAAACACTTGGCTCTTCGTTTGATTTACAACAATGGCGTTCCCAAAAAGAACCTGGCTGCTTTGAAAACAGCTTTAACCTGTGCGCTGTGTAGCGAAGATAATTACCAGACAAGAAATATCATACAAGAAAATTGAAGAAATTTGATATTAGAAGATGATCTTTGCGACTATCAGTAAATTTTAACTGATTTGATTCTCAAAATTTTTTACCGTAATCTTCAGTGAGAAAATTAATACTCACCCTCCACGGATCAATGCAGATTAAATTTTGTAGAATTTTGTAGCGAGGAAGGCACATAAGCTAGTCTTAAGCGTTCAGAAAACAAATGGGAATTGAAGTTTTCAGGTTGTATTATAGAGTTGGTTTTTGAAAAATGCATTGGCCAGGCTTCTACTTTCAGTTAACGTCAAGTTGTGTGCGAAATTAAAATCGAGATTTTTTTTCCTTTTTTTTACAGGCCGCTAAAAAGTTTCATCATCATCATTGTTTGCCTTATTTAAACAATACAAAAGTTTTTTTTTATAGCGATTATAGCTTGAAGGCGAGGAGACCCAGGAAGCCACCGGGCTTATGGGAGAGCCACCTCACCTACATTAATAAATAAAGTAAAGAAAAAGTGCTGCGAATGTGCGGCTAGGCCAACTCAGTGATTATTTAAGTAAAAACTCTTGCTTTTTCGTCTCTTTAACTAAGAAGGTTTGAGAAACGAGTGACTGAAACAGGAAGAGAGTTCCAAATTTTAGGAACTTGGTAGAGCATTGTAAATTGGTTGAGATTTGTACAGCACAAATGCGTTCGATAATTACTGGCTGCTCTGGTACCATAGTTGTGAATTTGGCTATTCGTTACAAAAAGATTGACGGAAGCAATGGGGGAAATAACTTATTTCTATAATAAAACATGAATTTGGCGATTTCAAACGTATTGACTTGGAAAATATCTAAAATTCCTAGTTTAGAGAATAAAGGAGCGGAATGGGCTCGATAGTCTGAGTTGGTGATAACCCGCACAGCTCGCTTTCGCAAGTAATAAATTCTATTTAAGTTAGATACGTATGTGGACGACCAGACGCAGTTAAAATAAACGATATAAGGATAAATTAAGGTGTAATACAAGGTGAGTTTGGTTGTAGAGGATGGGAAAAAGTGAGACCTAAATATAATACCTATTGATTTAGCGATTTGCTTACATACATAGCTGATATGGTGTTTCCAGGTGAGATGATCATCAATATAGACCCCAGGAAATTTAGATACGTTAGATTGTTGTAGGGGTTTACCTCCAAAGGAGAGAAAAATGCTGGAGTTAAACTTCTTCTGTCTGGGTTTAAAAATTACGTATTTAGTTTTCTTTATATTAACTTAGAGCTCATTGCATTTTAGCCAAACATCAATGTTTTGGAGTTCATCATTAAGTACAGATTCTGAGCAATTTGGGTTTGAGTGGGAATAAAAGATACTGGTGTCATCAGCGAAAAGCAGTGAGTCTGTTAATTCAGAGGTATTAGGGAGGTAATTTATGTATAGAATTAAAAACAGAGGGCCTTAAATCGAACTTTGAGGGACACCACACTTAATGGTTCGCATTGCAGAGCAAGCTTGATTGAATTGGACAAATTGCTGGCGGCAAGAAAAGTAGCTTTTAAACCACTGCAGAGCTACGTCACGGATACCATAGTGCTCCAATTTGGCAAACAAGATTTGATGGTTGAGAGTGTCAAATGCTTCGGAAATATCTAGGAAAACACCCACCGTTGTTTCGTGTAGGTCGATTGCAGAAGCTATTTAATTTACCAAATGAATTAGTGCATGCGATGTCGAGTGATTTTTCCGAAATCCAAAGTGACAAAAGTAAAGTATATCGTGTTTTTCGGCAAATTCTACTGAGCGATCATGACAGGACGGAAAACGCATGCATCAGCTCTTAGGAGTGTATAAGAATATTTACAGATCCAACAGAACATAACTCTAACAGCTTGATTCCTGAAGAAGATTTTGAGAAGGCAATCCGGCATAGTTCTATAGTCTATTTTTAAATAAAACGATTTCAACCAGAACTGGAGACTCAACTACGGTAATGTTATTAAATATATTTTTTAATCAATTCCCATGGCTCCTTACCTACTTGGGACGTTTTCCTTAACCGAATTGGCCCCGTGCTTCTTGTGAGATCGAAGTTCTTTCCAGCCACATTGTCAGAGTCGTAAACGTCTGCCGTATAAGGAAAGGACTGTTGCGGTTGCTAAAGCCTGGATCAAAGAGCGCACAAGCATGCATAGGGCAGTATCCTTGCTTATATTAGATTAGCTTTTCCTTATTTAGATCTTCAATGAATATTTTGCACTTTCCCATAGAAATTAACGACTGCTATTCTAGCCCTTATGAGAACAACTCGGCATGTAAGGATCTAATCGGTGAATTCTTCTGCTCGCGTCAACTCGGTTTCACTGGAAAACAATTCGAGACTATTATTGGCGAATTGGAGCACGTCTTGACTGTGTCAACAATTACTCCTGTTCATACGCATATGGTTTCGAAGGCTATAACTGCGAGGAAGATATTGATCAATGTGAATTATCGTTTTGTTCCTAGGATTTATCCTATGAAAATGACCCTGGAACTTATATAAGTGTCATTGTGAACTTGGTTTATACAGGTACTCTATGTGATGTGGAAATTGATGAAAGCCTCACTTCTCAGTGAAAGAATGAAGCTACGTGCAAATACAAAATAAAATAATTACGATTGCGTTTGTGCTGCGGGTTACAAGAGGGGACGACTATGAGGAGAATATCGACGACTGTGCAAGTAACCCTTGTGGTAATGGAGGAGAATTTCGATGATATCGCTGGCCGCCATTGGGATTGAATTAAAAGTTCGTAGTAATAAAGGATTAACGAAAAAGGTGACAAATCATCTTTACATATATTTTTCCCGTAGAAATTTGGTCGACAAAATAATCTGCGTTCGAGGAAATAATGCTATTGATCTTATCGTCGGTCTTCTGGTCGCACTAATGGTTATTTTAGTCATTTGTATTTTTCTCAACTGCGGGTTTGCGGGTTTGGTTTATAAAAATAAAATATCCAAAAGAGAAAAAGTAATTCATCGGTCGATCAAATTAAAAGACTGCAAATAAGAATGTCACTTTGGGTTTTTAAGCCGTTACTTTATTGACCAGGAATTCATTCGATAGGATATAATTATCAGAGCTTATAGAGTTGGAGAGAGTTTTTGACCTCATGGACTTAACAAAGGAGTCACGTGTAGGACGCAGTGGCTTAGTGGTAAGTGCGCTAGACTCCTGGTCCGGGCTCGGGTAAAGCTTTATGTGCTCATAATGCCTCTTTCGACCTAGGAATGTAGATAGTTACCGGTCCAGTTTCAGGGAAGTCTGATGGAATGCTAAGGGTAATCTTGCGATGAAACAGCATCCCATGCAGGGGGAGGGGGATTGTGATACTTTTAGTGGCTAAAGAAAAAGACAAGGTAATCTCCAGCTGCGTGGGCCGCTAAATTCGAGTAAAGACTTGACCTTAAGTTTATGGAAGGTAGAGACACGGTTATATGAGCTGCCTTTCCTCTTCAGTTAACAATTCTACAGGTTTGAAACAGACACAAAAACAGAGCCTACAGTGACCAGGTGTTTCCTATCGAGGAGGTATTTGTGTATGAGGATGGATATACTGATCAGAGGACGAAGCGCGCTTTGTGAAAACCAACAACCTGTAAGTAATAAGGTGATTTTCTCCTCCACATGAAGTAGCTAACAAAACATAATTGAGATAGGCTATAGGTTTTTCCTCTCTTTTTCGTCATTTCTCCTTTACCATTTTACAAGGGATTCTTAATGACGTTGATTAACTGCATAGATTGATGTATCACATCTAGCGCCTTTATTGAAACTTCATTTCATATCCAAACCTACTCTCGAGACAGTGAAAAATAAAGAACTATCAAACTACTACTCAATAGATTTCTACTTTGCATGTCTAATAAAAGCAGTCTTAGCATTACGAAAATAAGCTGAAGCCATCATCTGAAGTAACAAGGACTCAAACAACTTAGGCTGAGATACTCTTTAGCGTTGTTTGCAGTGACGTGAACGTGGAATACTTGGCACTTTATCAGCACTAACTCTACGACTACGTTGTATTTAAAGCAGTTATCGACCGAGATTTTTTTCATTTTTTAACTAAAATTGTAGTAGAATTAGAAAAGGATGTTTCTCCTGTGTTTCCTCTCTGTACCGCTTAGAACTTCATCATAAGTGGGGATCCGAACATATGTTGATTAAACTGATTAAATCGATTAAGACCAAAATATGACTGTGATTTTTCCTATGCTTTATCTCCGATCACATTCTTCTATATGTAAACAAGCGGCACTAGAATATAGGCCTTAGCTCCCTTGTTTTTCAGACTTGATTAGGTTAATTCCAACATTTTTAAAAAAGAAACATATGATTTCCTGTCAGAAACACTTTCACTTTCAGGAAAGCAGCGCAGGCCGACGTAGAGCCCAAAAAAGAAGTTTCTGCGCTGATGGCACTTTGAAATATCGATTTGCTACACAAAAATGCGTTATAAGTCTAAGCAAAACATGCGACGCAGGTCTGACAATAAGTGGAATTTTGAACAAGGAATAAATAATTTTACTCCCAGACGGAAAGTACGGTTAACTTGGTAAAAAGAAAAAAAAAAACAAAACAAAAACTTAGAGAAGTTAAAGTAGTGTTTTAAAAATTGACACTTATCCTGACTGCTTTAACAACTTAAAATATTCCAACAAAACGAGTGATGACTGCCCTCAAACGTAACTCCTCATGCTGAGTAAGGGGGGACGTTTTGGTAATGAGAGACTGAATTAGGGGCGTAACACAACCCTGCATAGTGGCTACTGTCACGCTTCTGTAATCCGGCGGACTTCAGGCTGGCATATGTGTTTATTCCGTCTGTTATTTCATCGTATATTGGGTCTTGTTCCTTGTCGCTCTGTGGCTTATAGTATTTCTCTTCGGAGGGATTTCCAGTATAGGCTTGGTTGCAATGTGACAGGGCTGATACCTTGTTATCTGGCCGGTAACTATGACTGTGATTTGTCGATACTGGTTTGGTGAAGCAACAGTATTGGCGTGACCTGAAAAAAAAGTTGTACCACATTCATACAAAAAGTACCTCTCACTCTTCTAAAGGCATGTGGTTTTTCTTCCCTCGACCAAACAGCTTAGACATGATACAACAAAGATGTGGGCTGGTGCTGAGCCATGAAAGCGAGCCAGGAATGTGGGGCGTACTCGTAGCGGTACCGGATCTCAACTTGTAATTGTGTACATCTTATCTAAATTGCAATCCTTAGTTTCACTAAGGTTTATTAAAATTGACCAAACGATGCAATTCGTAAGATGATGAAGAGTGTTCGAACAAGTAACTGTGCTAAAAATAGATATATGTTAGATCTTAAAAACAAATGAAAATCATCGGTAGAATTTTAATTTTTGGGAATATAACTCAGTCCAAGTGAACGGAAAGAGGTCCCCAAACTTAAAAGCCTTTGTCTTTCCACTTCCTTCACGATTCAGGAACTGATTTCCCCAAAAAACCAATCAGAAAAGGACATTATAGAAGACGAAAATAAACAGGATATTAAATCTTTTATTGACTTACTAACCTGTACCAGGCAATGATGATAAGGAGAAGTATCACAGCCACCCCTGCTGATGCGATGATGTAGTAAATGTAGGCGTTATCATCTGGTTCGACTTTCTTTTTGGTGGAAATACTTTTTTCTGCGTGGCGAATGAAATAAATTTTTCAAATTAGAGTTTAACACATAGCAGAGTTGAATTATATTTAACGAGCCGCGCGGCAAATTGAAACGAGGGGCCTTTACATACGATACAGAGTAGCGTGGAAAGTTTCCAGCATGTTTGTTTGTTTGTCAATTGCCAATATATTGTGTTCTGCGGGAACAATGTTTAAAATTCGCGATAAACGAAATTTTTAGTAAGCAGTATATTCCGTTAACAATGTAATCCAAAGAGTAGCCATAATTTTTGCGTGTTGTTCCCTTAACAAAGCATACTCAATATTTTGAAGACAAGACAGCATATCTATGTCCCCAAAGTTTGTTTCCCTTCTCCTTAAAGTCACCTTTGTAGCATTCTTTGCTGGAGGTAGCTCCAGCCCATTTAGTTGTTTTTCCTTCCGAGCATGTTTTACAGTTCGCCTTTCCTTCCTCGTCTTGATAACTTCCTTTCTCACACAGGTTACAACGGAGACTGTTATCGTCTCGGAATTTTCCCACTGGACAAGCCACTAATAGAGGTAGTAAAGATACTTTATGTTTAAAATTTTTGTGTGTTCAGCCTATTTAGTTTTTAGTGACATCGGATGTTAGATATAAACTCTTAAACCCTTGATCAGGTAACCAAACACTTCAAATATGTCCAACGGTATGGAGGGTTTCGACTGGATGAGCATCGGGGCCCGATTGCTTCTGCCAATAAAGGGCAATAAAGCCATTTAAAGTCTAGTCATCGTCTAAGAAGATCAGGGTGGAATATGTAATTATTAGTCCACTCTTGTAAAATTTGAATCCACCCCACGAAGTTCGTCAGATAAAATTCATAAAAAAAAATACAATCTAAAAATTAACAAATGGAACATTCATTTCAGTTATAACGTGGAGTTATGCCCTGAGGTTATAGCAAACAAGAGCAACAACAAAAACGACAACCCGAACAAGCGGCAAAAAGAGATATTGAGCAATGCCTACCGCAATCCTCCCCACTACCGGCTGTTTCGTAACCAGCACCGCATGTAATACTTGACGAAATGTGTTCAAACGAAGATCTATCGGCTGTAATGTTACGTCCATGTAAGTTTATCATAAAGTTCCCTGCAGCAACAACGTATTGCATCTGAAACAACAGTGCTTCGCTTTTCTCATCGACACTGTCTTCCGATGAAGAAACATCGACAGTTTTTTTAATCATCAATGAGAATTGAACTTTCAGTGAGAGATCTACGGAACGTCTTCTTTTAGGGCTAGCTGTCAGATCACACCCAGGAACTGTTAAGGTCTTTAGCTGACAAGTTTGGCATCCTGGAATTGCTTTGACGGTGTTACTTATTTCTTTCCCGATTGCTAATCGCAGTGCGTCATGACTTCCGATGTTTTTGCACTGCATCCCTGGAAACCTAATGGAGAAGTGATGTTCTATTTCTCGAGGTTTCGCTTTATCTGTCGAAAAAAATATTTATTTAAAATCGAAAAGGAAAAAGTTATCAGGTAAGATGATGTTTTTGTCCAAAACGAAGAAAAATTGGTAATGCATAGACCTAGGTAGCAGGTGATGATGCTGATGATGGTGATTAAAGTAATTCTGCACTTAATTTAATACTCTTCCCGCGTCACTGGAGTAAAAGCCTTCGTGACTGTGAAATCATTCTGGGGGTTTAATTTAAATAAAGAAAAGTACCATACAAAAAGAAAATTATTTACATACTTAGACAAACAGGTGTTGACACATTATCAAAACCATTCCATTTCCATTCTGTTTCAGGGCCGCAAGCATACGTAGTTATTGCCTCAGCACTGAACGAGTGACCTTCATCGCAAGACATGGTACACAGCGTTTTACCAGAAAACTTTTTACACTCTTTTTCTCCTCTGCTTGGCTGACTCAATTTTGGACACTCTGAGGAGACAAGGAAAAACACAACGTCAGATCTTTAACATTAATCGAATATTTTTTTTGGGTCTTTGTCGTGACCCTGATGTCTTCTCACCTTTTTGTATCGTAATAACATTTTCGCAGAAGGATCCCCAATATCCTGCTTCGCAGGTACATTCAAAACTGTCAACTCCATCGACACACTTTCCATGGACACAAGGATTTGGGTTGCAGTCGTTAATATTGATATTACAGTGGTAACCGGTGAAACCTTTCTCACAAGTACAGCTGTAGTAACCAGCGCGGGATTCACATTGGTGGAAATGTGAACAGTTGGTTGTGCACATGCCCAAAGCTTCAAGGACGAAGTGGGAAAAGTTGTTATCAGCAACAGCTGGCTAGCTTACTGTAAACTGTTAGTCTTATTAATTCAAATTTCATAAGCTTGATCTAAACATTCGTATCAAGTCTTTGGTAGAGATAAAACTTAGATAGTAAATATGCAAAGTATTCCGTCATGCTTTTTCAGAAAGCTATCATCCATGATGGATATCCACATCATGACCTGAAATACTTTCAGAATCCATTTTCTTCCATAAACTTTGTCAGTTGTAATTAAGCACTGACAAAGGTATTTTTTACTGGTTATGCAGCAGATGGTGGACTGACTTCGACGCCAACTGTTGGATACAGTATAAAGGAATCTTGTGTATGAGTGGACCAAAGAATTCAAGAGATCCATCATAGCAAGTTTAACGATGATGGTGATGACAGCCTTCACGATGACGGATACAAAAAAATTGATAGTAACACCAAGACTTAAAACAAAGATAAAAAGAACGTCAACAGCAATAATAATATTTATAATCATATCACCAAAGATAATTATGATACCCATAATGATGATTATTATGGGGGTGATAACGATAATAAGCTTTCAGTTATTAGTATGACTTTTGGACTAATTGGATTAAACAACCTTGTACTATGCCAAACCTTTGCATTGTGTCTTGAATCTCTTCTGCACCTGTCCTTTGATTCCAAGCAAAAAGCTGTTCCATGCTCGCAAACTTCCGGCAATGGGCCAGGTACAGTTGTGGGCTGCATTCCACATGTGAAAAGCAGTGGATGGCGCATTCCACACATTTACTTGGTGCATCGTACCGTAGAAAGCCGTCGACGCCGGTGGGGAATTATCATCTGCGAGGTAACGCTGACCAAGGGCAATCCAACCACCCCCTCTAATAGTCTTGTTAGTATAAATACCTGTCTCTCGTGTCATCTCTAGTCCATCTATGAACATAGAGACATTGCCTGCAAGTCCATTCCAGATTACTCCAAAGAAATGCCACTGATCGTCCGCCAAAGTAAAATTAGTCTTAACTGCAATATCTTTAATTAAAAAATCTACGTTATACTCGGTGAACGAGATAACTATAATTTCTTTTGACCTCCCAGGAACACTGTAGGTAAACAGCGTTCCTGATTTGTATTGCTTGCTTACTTGCACAAACATAGCAATAGTGAAATGTCGCATACTGGGAGTATCGCTGCCATCGGATAGTAAAACCATATCGTCTGCACTCTTTCGTCGGAAAACCAGGTCAAAGTTACTGCCAAGAACTGAAACAGAAGCGAAAAGAACAGATTATTTCGAAACAAAGTTTTGTTTCGTAAAAACGTGATACTTACATATGTCACAGTGGTCTCCAGAGTATGAGGGGTAACATTCACAGCTGTAGCCATTCACTTCGTCCATGCAATAAGCATTGGGCATACAAGGATTTGACGCACATTCATCTATGTCCACTTCACAGTGAGCTCCAGTAAAACCAACAGCACACGAGCAATTGACGCTACCTGCAACTTTGTCATTTTTACACGTTCCACCATGTTGACATGGTGATGATAAGCATAGGTCTAGTAGGTTTTCACAGTTTTCCCCATTGAACTGATCCGGGCATTGGCACCTGTAACCTGGTGTTAGATTCACGCAAGTTCCATTGTTAATACATGGATTAGATTCGCATTCATCGATTTCTGTTTCACAGAATGTCCCATTATACCCATCAGCGCACAGACACCAGTAACCAAGCGTAAGGTCCATGCAAGTGGCATTGTTTAAGCAGAAATTATTAACACAGTCATCGATGTTTTTCTCGCATAGCCTTCCTGTATACCCATCAGTACACGAACAGGTGAAATTGTTTATTGCATCATGACAAGTAGCATTATTAAAACATGGCTTTGTCAGACACTCGTCGATTTCTAACTCACAGTATCTGCCGTAGTAGCCGCTGCTGCAGTTACAAAGGAAACCTGTAAGTGAGTTAACGCAGTATCCATTTTGTGTGCAGTTTGCTTTTTTGCAGTGGTCGATGCGGTTTTCACAATTGGATCCGTTAAATCCTAGTGGACACTGACAGGAGTAGTTTGCCACACGATCTAGGCAGGTGCCATTGTTTTTACAGGGACTGGATGCACAATCATCGATGTTCTCTTCGCACTGTGCACCTGAAAATCCAGCGGAACAGACGCAAACAAAGCCAGCAATCTGTGCAGCAAATAAGAAAAGAAGAAAAGAAATGTTAGGCACTCCATGTACTACAAAACTATTGGAATTTGCTATTTAAATAATTCAAAAAACCTTCACCTTTACGGTTAGAGTAGTCACCTTGATGAAGCTATAATTATGAAGGCAATAAATGTAGTGAGAGCAACTTAAGAAGGATCATCTAAGGGTATCCGTCTCCTCTAAACGTTTTGTCGTTTGAGGTAAACTTAGTTAACAAACAAACGCAGTCACCTGGTCATTACATTTCCCGCCGTGGTAGCAGGGGAAGGACGCGCACTCATCGATTTCCACATCGCAGTATTCACCGAAGAAGCCGGGTGCGCAGTCACAACTGTAGCTGTTTAATCCATCTCTACAGGTAGACCCATTACCACAAAAATTTACCGAACAATCGTCAACGTTGACATCACAGAGAGGTCCGCTGAATCCATCGATACAAACACAAGTGTAGTTGCCAACTTTGTCAATGCAAGTTGCATTATTTTGACAAGGAGAGCTGGCACACTCATCAATGTTTACACTGCAGTTTTTGCCGGAGTAGCCTCGTTTGCACTTACATTGGTAATCATTTATCAAGTCCTTGCAGGTTCCATCATTCAAGCATGGGTTTTCCCGACAATCATCAACGTTTATTTCGCACTGGATACCGACAAAGCCTTCAGGACAGGCACATTTATAATCGTTTATGCCATCGATACAAGTGCTGTTGTTTAAGCAACTCGCTGTCTTGCATTCATCCACATTGATTTCACACTGTTGCCCCTCGAACCCGTCCTCACAAATACAAATAAATGAGGTGATATCATCCAAACATGATCCATTGTTGTAACAGGGCATGGTAACACAGAAATCGATATCTACGTCACAAGTTTTACCCGTGAAACCTTGAGAGCAAATGCAGCTGAAGTTGTTGACACCATCATAACAAGAGCCGTTGTTCAAGCAAGGGTTTAAAGCACAATCATCGATGTTATTCTCACAATTTACTCCATCAAATCCATCGCGGCAGTCACAGAAATAGCCATCAAGCTTGTCTACACATTTTGCTTGGTTTTTGCAAGGATCAGAGTTGCATTCATCAATTTCATGTTCACAGGCGTTTCCAGTGAAACCGTTTTGGCATATGCAGTAAAACTTATTCACTTGATCAAGACAAGTAGCATTGTTTTGACAATTTGCACTCAGGCAGTCGTCTATGTTATGTTCACACTTTGTTCCGTTTAAGCCCGGAGGACAAACACATTGATAACTGGCGATCCCATCAAGGCATTTTCCTCCATTTTGACAAGGGCTACTCGCACAGTCATCAATATTTTCGTCACAGTCTTTCCCTTCGTAACCCATCCGACAGATGCAATGATAATTGTTTATTTCGTCTCTGCAAGTCCCCCCATTCTTGCACGGAGATATGAAACACTCATCGATATCTATGTTGCACAGGGTTCCCATGTATCCAGGCTCACACTCGCAGTTGAATCCCCCAGGAAAGTTTATACAAGAGGCATTATTGGAACATGGTGAAAGAACACATTCATCAATATCGTTTTCACAATTAAAACCCTCAAAACCATACTTGCATGAACAAGTGTGGTTGTTTACAAGGTCATGACACGTGCCATTGTTGGCGCAAGGTTGGTTTTGACACTCGTCAATGTTGATCTCACACTGTTTTCCGGTGTAACCTGGTTGACATGAGCATTTGAAATTACCAATGAGGTCTATACATGTGGAGTTGTGGTTGCATGGGTTCGACTTGCACTCGTCAATTTCTATATGGAACAAAAAAAAGGCAGAGAAAGGTAAACAAACTAACTGAAAAAAAAGAGTAACTAATATGTGGAAAAAAACTAACCCCTCATATTATACCCATTGGAGTGACAAGAATTTAATTTCTTCTTAGAGATTTTCTCGCTAAAAATTATTGACCAGCGCTTTTTTTTCCAGCAGGCGTTTTTCAAGTATATAACATTACCTTGGTCGATTTTCAGGCAGGACTGCTTCATTTAAGCTTGCAGATGAGAGCTTCATTGATTTTAAAACGACACAAAACTTAAAATACTGCCCTGAGCATTGGAACATCATTATGGTTTCGTCTCAGATTTACATTGCATAGTCTTTATTAGAAAGCTTGAAGGTGTTGCCAACGATCAATAAAGTTACCTATGCAGTCCTGCTCTTTCATTGACCCGTGCTTCAAAGCTATAGTTGTTCCTGGGCATAAAGTACATGTGCGTCTCTCACTTCGTGGCTGGAATGATCGTCTGTCACACAAAGTACACGGGTGCAACCCGGTTGGAGAGAAGGAACCAGCAGGGCATGGAACTGAAAGTATTGATCAATAAATATTGAGAGTTTAACTTCGAAATAGGTCCTCGAGCATGCGGATAAAAGAAAATCAATACTTTTTTTGCTGTCTCATATTTTACTAAAATACTATCATAGGCCTAATTGTGATAAGCTTGAAAAGTAATTTCTATGCAAATTTGGTGGGGTGCTAAACTAATTATTCGAGTTCAAGATTGTTTATTCGTTTCGTTTTCTTTTAAAAATATATCCAATTTTGATCAGCATTTTTTTATATATTTTGAAAGGTTAGTTGGTAACAAAATATGTTTAATTGAACATTTGGTACATATTTACATACTTCCACATTGTGAAGAGTTGTTGGAACCTGCGGAGGACGTTGTTTCATTGTCACCACATTTTGAACAGGCCTTCTGCCCCACCATTTCTTGATAGTATCCCTTCTCGCAAGCAATACAAGGCTCTAAGCCAGTTGGTGAATAAGAACCAGATTTGCAAAAACCTTGAAAGGTTTAAAAGGATCTATTATCAATCTCTGAAAAGCATGTGAGTGAGAAGTTTAGCTAGCAAAGCAGCAATTAGGCTTAGTTAAAGGAATTGTTTTGAAAGCAACTTAAGAAATAGCTTAAAGTGGCCTTACGAGTTCTTAAGGAATTTATGAAAAAAATGTTTCTTTTTTTGACGGGGTTGGGGGGGGAGGTCATCTTCTGTCAGTTTTTACACAGTTTTACGCCCAAACAAAATCATAGTTTTTTTCGCATGTTGGATTTTGAGATAATTCGCCCATGCTTCGCCCCCTTCTCTGATCGGAGTTAGTAATTTACAAATGAATAAACAGATTAATCACCTAAACAGCTGGATATGTTAAAAGATCTGATTTCAATCGTTGAGGTATTTGGTGGGCACGTAAAACACGTTTCCTGTGCATTTAATCCTTGGTACGTTCCAATTGGACAGTCATCACATTTTCCCGTATCCCTATTCAGGAATGTTCCAGCGGTACAGTTCACTAAAAAAACGAATAGAACAAAAAAAAAGTGTTTGTGAAACACGACTTATCTACTTCATAGCATGCCATAGAGAAAAAAATAGCCAGTCAGAATATCAGAAATTGAAGCCGCTCTACATGTATATTCGTCGGCATTACAATGCCCCCCCCCCCCCCCCCATAATGCCTCTGATCTTATTCCGGACTAATTTGGCGAAACCATCAGTTTTCAGGTTTCTCTCACGAGTCTGGACATGATGATTATGTTTGCTAAGCATTCAGGATATTTGTCCTAATTTCCCATAGATAAACGGTAGGCAAATCGTAGACAAAAAGATGCAAGGTAATAGTTATTTAAATGGAATCTGCACATCTGCACATATATTAGAACACATCGATCGATTGCGTTGGCCATTTCATGAAGTATGCACACTTTCTCGCATTGTATCATCGGGTAATCCCTTTGTTATTTGTACTTTCTAGATGCACAAAATTACCTAACGGCACATGTGTTTCCAAAAAACGCAACTCACTCCGAGTATATCCGATTGTATACCACCAGAAAAGGCTGCACAACTAATTTATATAAGTTACTTCAACAAAAATCAATTAACTCAACCGGGATTCTTCTTTTTTTTTTAGGTTCATGAAATCATTTTGATTATTATGATTAGGCAGGAAATCCTCTCGAAGACAAAGTTTCTCTGAGAAATTATGTCAGCCTCGAGAAGGCGTCTCTGTGCAGATGCATAATTTCCAAGAACTTACAGCAATATGTCCCCTTTAACGTTTGGCCCTTCGAACAAAGAGGTTTTGGCTCCATGATTTCAAGTGACTGTTTATCAGGAAGTAACACAGTGCCATTGATGGTTAAAGTCAGACTGCCGTTATCCACCGCACGCTTCATCTCTTCGCCAATTTTCTTTGCGATCTTTAATCCTTCCTCTCCTACCTTTATCTTACTCTCTTTGGTGTCCTCCGTTTTAATTTTGTCGAGGCCAACTGAAAGAGTGGAACAAAGTAAAAAAAAATAATGCTTTTGATGCGTTGTCGCCGCATGCTTGTGATAATATATACGCCAGTTCGAAGAGCCACTTAACTCCCAAAGTAAGGCTCCTAAGTAAGACGAGGCTCCAGACGCTTGTACATAGTAAAGTATCCCGGTTGGCCTGTAATATCATGGTGCTCTAATGGATGCTTGTAAGAGTGGCCGTGACAAGGGGTTTTCAATCAAAGCCTGCTTCAAGCTTCACGTGTTAGACATTTTTATCGCGATGGGATGAAGATATAAAGATACAGGAGCGTTTAACTACATCAAGACTTGACTTCGTCTTTGGGCACATTAGGCAAATACATGCTCCTTAAACTTGCTTACAACCTCGCCTGTGAGTCTACAAAACATTTTCAGCTTACCAACAATCTCAAAAGTAATTTCTGTGAGCGGAATTGATCGTCGATGTCGGCTCCGTGGAACATCCTCGTCTGAAATTGAGAGATGGTAAGTTTTAGGCTCGATAGAGAAATAGAGAAAGATGTTGTTTTCGTCTTGTCACAAGCGTAGGACAAAGAAAAATTCTGGGTCCACATGAGAAATCAAACCTCAGACCTTTGGATTCCGCGCTTGGCCGCAAAGGCTCTTTGGTGGGTAAGGCCCATTACGAAGTTCATATATGACACGCGTCCTGCATACTGCTAGAATCAGCGATGTCGATAGCGGCTTGTTTTTAAATAAAATAAGAATGATGGTAAGTTTTACGCTCGATGAAGAAACGGAGAAAAATGTTTTTTCTTTCCTCTTGTCACGAGCGTGGAACAAAGAAAAAAGATATTGGTGTATTTCCTTCACGTTACACAAAGTTAATACCTTTTCTGTCGTTGAAGGAGTTACTGAGCGGGAGCAACATAAAGAGGGATAAATTTTAGAAACTCCCATAATTTTGACGAAAGTAGGGTAATGCTCGGGAAACCCATGTACAACGTGATGTAAGATTTCTTTGATTATGCTGTCTGGTCATATGTAATTTAGTTTTCAGTAAAACAATTGATGCCAAAAATAGTGATGATAAATACGATATTGTTATTATTATTATCACCATTTATCAAACAAAAGTTGTCAAATACTTCGTGGCTGGTATGACGCGCCATTTCGTCTCGGCCAAGAGACTCATCCAATTATTATCATTAGACTCATTATTTTCACCCTATCCTTGTAAGAGGTCCTGGTCCTTTCTCACTAATAGGGGCTTCACTGAATGCACGGCGGCGAGAGAGACATATTACCGGAATAAGATGAAACCGATCAAGCTTAGAGTACCTGCTGAACGTCTTCTTCTTGTGACGTTACCGCAAGTGACTACAACATTCTCTGCTTTGCATTTTTCTCTCAGCGCCTCGTCTTGACAAACTGTGCTAAAATAGGACTCGTTCAGAAGCCTGATGAAATTTTCTTTTATCTGTTGTTGGGCCTCAGGCGAACTGCAATCACCGTAAAAATAGTGCAAAGAACCTCCCATTCTTGTCTCTCCCGTACGGTACACTTCTGCAAGGAGTTTTTTTCAAGTTCATTAGAATTAATATCTTTTCAATGTAATTTCTAAAGGCTCCAACATAGAAGGAGCTTTAAATGTTACGGAAACTTTTCGCACGACCAGAGAAAAATATCACTTGTAGCTATTATAGATTTAAGTTGAATGGTAGGGCTAGCAAAAGTTCTAAAACGTTTTTTAAACACTTTAAAATTGACAGAAAATCTTAACAATTTTTGCTGAAAGTGTTTGTCCACTTATCAAAAAGGCGTCAAAATGGGATCGGGACCATTCTTAATTGGGTTTTCATTTGCATTGTACCTAGACAGAAGAATAGAAATCAGCTCAGAACACGGTTATACAGACAGATGCATTGCAAGTTTTTAGGATGATTTTTGTAACGGTAATAGTCGACCTAGACTTTTATAGTAATGATTGCAATATATTTACCAACCTGTGCAGTCCGGCAAGAAGCTCGTTGGAGCCCACGTCCCCTTTGATCCGCAAACCCACATACTTGATAGAAGCTGCTGTGCAAAATCAGACTTATTATTGCAAAATGGTGAACAAAAAGAACCAAACATCCAGTCATCGCAGGCTTTGGCACCATTCAAAGGAGTATTTAGTTTTGGGCACTCTGTCGCTATCGAAGGTAAGAACATACGAGAAGGAAACATGACATTAAAATGAGTATTTTCCTCAAGAATGACTTATAAAAGGGTTGCGTTGCTTAACGAAAAGTGACGAGGCAAATGAGAACGATGATAAAATTAATGATGATTATAATGGTGACAATGATTATGATAAAATGTGGAGACAAACAATTTGATAGATCATAACCCAAAATATTGTAAGTTTAGAATGAAAATGAGAGCAAGAAAGGGCTAAAAATATAAGGTGGCTCATAGATGACGATGTTTTGTAACCTTCGACTTTTGAAAATTAATTGTTGTGACTACTTACGTTTTACTATTAGTTTAAATTGACAGACAGCTGGGTCGTTGTTTGGATTGTTGTCATAGGCAGTACAGTGCACATTCCAGGTTCCCCAATAAAACTCATCTCCACTCTCTCGATTGCAATTAATCACTAATGGACTGTTGCTATTATCGTCAAATTGTGGTTCATTCCAAGTCACCACCGTTCTCATCTGTGTTGCAGTTATATGTTGATCAGGAGGGCAATAAATAACAAAAGGACCTTCATTATCTGGCAAAAACATAAAAGTAGTGCGGTGCTTTCAACAAATGCGTGTTATCCTATTTTATATGGCTCGACAAGAGTAACACTTTACGCGTTGATATGCGAAATTCAAAGAGATTATCTGAAATACGAGTATCTTTCACCTTTTAAGTTCAGTCTATTGTCTCAAAATAGCAATTGAAACCCTTGTTTATCATCGCCATCCTTTTCCGACGATTTCTTTTTTTCGGTTTTTCTTGTCTCTTCAATTTTTCTTTTACAAGAAAATGTGCCTCGGTTAAAAAGGTTAATTTCTAGATTTCCTATATTTTGATTAACCTTTATTTGTCGTGAAAACAAACCAACTGTCGTGTTACAGCTTCAGGCGTCAAACTCGGATTGGGTAAGTGTTGTTTTTCGGGTGCAAATAAATCTTGTCAACAAAGTAGTAACCCTACATTTGCGCAATTAAAACGATTGGATCTTGTTCCTAAATGACCATGTAAAGGGGAGAGTAGTTCAAACAAATTTCCTTCCCGAGAAAAAGTTTAACATTAATTGACGATAAATATGTCCCTATTGGTTAGAGATAAGTTCATTTCTTCTACCCAGAAAGAACAACGTAAATTTTTATAGGTGTACAATCGAATTCAATGTTCAATTATATTTACTGTTACAGGGACTTTTAATCATGCCATTTCTTGCTTCACTTTAATAAATACTTTGGTCGGTTTACCTTCCAGTATAACTTTGAAGGAACAGTCGTCCGTGTTTCCATTAGCGTCTGTGGCTGTATAGGAAACAAGCGTTGTTTCATTGAACGCATGGGGTGGGCTAATTCCAGATGGTATAACTGTAATATTCAGCCCTACATTGCTGTTGTCATGTGCAATAGGTTTCGTCCAGTTAACTAATGCTGTGGAATTTCCGTCAATATTTGCACGAATATCTGATGGACATCGAATGAATTCAGGAGGAGATACGTCTGCGAAAATATATTTGATAATGTAAGTTTTCATTCTAATTGATAACAAATGTGGGATTCTGCTACTTAAACTATTGCTGATTTAAGCTGGAGTGCTTACGCTAGTTTCAGAATTCAGAACAATAATTTGTTTTACTTTGGTTTTAGGATAAGTAGAGTAATAAGTAGAGTAAAAATAAAGCGAATTGAGTACAAATGTCACACGATATTTAGACCGTTGGATAAATTGTATTGGAAAGAAAAACCTGTTTAAGTGGTTGGCTGCGCGTACTACGTTCTCTATCTGCTTCGCATAAAATACAGCTCTTTGTTTATATCTTGTTTCGCTTTGCAGGCTCGACAAAATACTACACAACTCGTAAGAATGATGCACCTCAAGGTCATGACGAGCGGACCGTGCGTCTTGAACGAGAGCCAACTATTTTCCCGTCCAGCCCGACCTAACTCAATATAAGTATTTAATCATAATTATAGCACTGACTAAGTTTCGAAAAATTCGAAAAGTTTGTTTTAACTTAAATAAGACGCGAAAGACTGGCAGGCGCAGGAAAACGCCCCAAATGATTCTGAGGGAAAAGCGTTTCTTTATTTTTTCGATTAAGAACAAGAACCTCGCAATTTCATCGCTGTCACAATTTTTTTTTTGTTTTGTTTTGTTTTGCAACAACAGCGAATAGCCTTTCTTTTCTATTTCTTCAACAAAGCCGGTCATGTGCGCTAGGGCTAGAATGCTTTTTCCTGGATCGGTTCATGTACAACTGTCCGGCTCTTCACACATTACCTTTCACCATGGTTTTCTATGGGACTGCGCAAGCGGGGCCGGACGGGTCATATAACAGGCATTTAAAACAGTGACCTAATGTATGCCAAACCGACTGCCGTAGGCCATTTTTTTCCCTCTGCTCCAAACACAAGAAATGATAATCACCGGTTCACAACATGACCGGTAGATATAACAAGATAGAAAACACGTGTGTGTGATATAATCGCAATGAAATCCTCAGCTCGATTCGGTATAAAAATAGTTAATTTGAGGCAGTATAAGGTCTGAAAAATTGTACTCAAATGACAGAAAAGAAGTTACCAGAGCACTCTAGGAGAGATTCGGTTCTGTTCCACTGTCCATCATTTCCACAATGCATCTCGGTCATACCTCCATTGTCTTGGTAACCGGGCTTGCATTCAAACTTACACAACGTTCCACTGACCGGATAAGACTTGCACATGTGAGGATAAATGACGCCATGTTGTGGGTCACTCAGTGAATTACACGACCGCACTGAAATGATAAATCGAGATATGGGTAAACTTCACATAATGTGTCAAGGTTGGGACGAAGACGAGAACACTTATGATATCGTTATTATCAATGCTAATGCGATGGCATCAAGCACGAATTCCTACTGACTCCATTCCCAAAATAATAATTTCGAAACGCTGCTTCAAATCAGCGTCATGGTAAATCCAGGAATTTGCTTCTCTGCAACTCAGGGCAGACTACGGATACGGGTCACCCATTCAACCATTAGATGTAAAACTGCTTGAATAAAGGGAATCCTGGACTCAAAAGTTAATGCGGCGGACCTATTCCTTGATACCTAGTAAACCGTCAGCTTCAGTATGGGAAACCGATATGTTATTACAAGAAGGAAGCACCTAATACTCTTCAATAACTCCTTCATGAAAATGTCCTTTTACCTTTACACACTGGAGTAGTGTTATCCCAGTATCCTGTAAGATGACCCGGTCTATGTAGGCAGGAGATGTTTCCTGACCCATGCAAATTGAATCCATCCATGCAACCTATCCTGCATGTCGATCCGTACGTGTTGCGACATTCCTCAAGGAAGAAACCGTATGATGGTGGGAGGAGATTTCGGCAGAGCAGCACTAAGTAACAGAAATAGATAGAGCCCTTCAGATACGCGCCATACAAGGCAAACTGGTTTTTAAAAGTACGCTAATGAAATATTGTCCACGCAATGCATAGAGCCAATTCGAGGGCGTATTAGAAAGATCTGCAAGTCGATTCCCTTGCCCAGCCATAATAAGCCATCCGACATTATAAAACAAGATCTAGCAAATGGTTATTAATTCAGATTTTGATGGCAAAATTCTCCGTAGACAAGTCTTTTTTTCCCAGCCAATTAGAATGACAGTTTTAGTTGCAAATCAACCGTTTCATGGCATGCATGTTTAAATTTTGAAATGCGATTAATACAACGAATTTAAACAACCATTCTTTCTGTGAATCGTTGTTAAGAACCAGAAGTTTACAAGAGTGTATCACGTAATATACATGTATATGTATAAGAATTTACAACTAAATTAAATAAATAAATGAAAAAAAATAAGCATAAGGTTTGTACAACTAAAATCCATCTTCCTCGTATAGAATATTTCACTCGTCTTAGTGACGACAATTTTCTCGAAAAATGCTCGGGGTTTCAACCTAATGGAATCATTACTTATCATTGTTCATACTTAAAATTGATCCATCTAACTTACCTTCAACGGTTACGTAAAATTTGCAGATTTTGTAGTTTCCTGTGTTATCAGTAGCGTTATAAACGATCTCGTGTCTTCCCTCATAGTATATACTCCTTTTACCAGATATCATGACAACGGGAATTATCCCAGAGTTGTCAATAGCCTCCACAAGAGGCCAAGTTATCTTTGTATAGTTCTTTGCCTTGTCTGCGTACTTTTTAACATCTTTTGGACATGTTAAGCCGAAAGAAGGCGATTCAACATCTGCAACCGTAAATTATAACTTGAAATATTTGCAAACGAAACAGTGGTGGTAAGAGTTAATAACTATTAACCAAAGTGGAGGTAAATATCCACAACTTTCACCGACAGTGAGAGGTAATTGTTTTAGTTGATGCCACACAGATACCAATTACCTAGCTTATTTCCCTTAGTGTAACAAAGAGTGGTCGAAAAATTCAGCTCTTGACGTGCGATTTGCTATCGGAAGTGAATATTACTTGCTATTCACCTCCGAACTAGCCAATCAGCGCGTGCGAAAAGTACTATTCACTTTACTCACTTTAATTTATCCAAGTGGAATTGGCTAGTAGTGGTAAACATCCACCGTCAGCCACGAACACTGAGGCCAATAGTTGTTTAGGTAAAAACTAAAACAGTGAGATTATATAGCATAATAATTATATAGCTTTAGCTGGAGAGTAGGAAACACCTGCTATTGTTTCAATGTCATTTCCCACGATATATACCAAGAAAAAGAGAAACGGAGCTAACCTTCACAGTATGCAGCAGAGATATTTTTGGACCACATCCCATTTCCGGTACATGTCGTCATTGGATACCCGCGCAAAATATATCCTTTGGGGCAAGTTAATTTGCATGAGGTATAATACACGGGAGACTTTTCGCAATCACTAGGCGTTAAGTTGCCATCCTTAGGAGGTTTCAAGGATGAACAACGAACAACTGTGGAGAATTAAAAGAACAGGAAATCAATATTCAGGACGCTTCGAAAAGACAAAAGAAATTAAAAAAAGACGAAACAAAACGAAAGAAACTGAACGGAACGAAGCAAAATATTTAAAACAATGGGTAAGCAAGAAAATGAGGACAAGCATAGCACTAGTAGAGGCGTTCAATTTTTTTTTTTTGGGAAAAAAAATTCAGTTCCCTTCAGTCATATTTATCCCTTAACCCATGGGCTTACAAGATATATGACAACCCTACCATAGTGCAACGGAAGGGGGGGGGGGGGGGCTTTTCTTTTACGTTGTTGCTTTTCTCTGGATAACAAATTCAATTGTAATGATTGTAATGTGAGTATCTTTGCATTCTTAATGTGAGTCTGTCTCGTATCTTTGAGTTCAATGTTCAGCTTTACAATCCGAGTCCTCGATGAACTAAATGCATTTCTTTAAAAAACCTTACATTACTCCTTTTACCTTCACATTTAATTTCTTCTCCTGACCATGTACCATTAGCTTGACAGATTCTTTCAGTGGATCCATTGACGCGCCGGTACCCGGGAGTACAATAGAAAGAACATTTGTCGCCGTAATAGTTGTTTAAAGGCCCACCTCCACAACCATGTCGTCGACTATGTTCAGGGAAGGGCGGCGGTAAACACCTACCCACTGAAGAGAAAAAAAAAGGTTTTCAAGATGATTTTATTTCACGCCAACTTAGTTCGTGGTAAACGAGTTTTTAAATAAAATTCAAGACCCACTTTTGGTTTAGGTTTTCAGCCCTTATTAAGGCAGAAACCGAATGTGCAATTAAGAAAAATAGATACAAAACAACGACAACATCAATAAGCAGACAAACTGACAGAAAAGAGACCAAGAGATACATTTTCCAAGAAAGCAATGGCACGTTCAACCATAGCATGTTTTTTGATGATCCCCTCTCCAATAGGCCCCCTTTTTAAATAGGTGCTTGAAATAAAACATACATTCACACTTTGTGTCGAATCCTGTCCAAAATCCAACGGACGTCGATGCATTTTTCTCGCAGACTCTGTGACTAGAGCCTACCCTGTTGTAGCCAAGGTGACAAACATACGAGCAATTTGATCCGTATCGGTTGTCGCGAGGATTGCAACTTACGCGTCCGCCAGGAGGATTATGAAGTGGAGGTAAGCATCTAATAACTAAAAGTAAATTTGCAATCATACTTATTTCATAGGCCGAATTACACAGACATTTTTTTTATTAGTTGTCACCTATAATTTAGAGGAATGTCTATCTTCATATACATAAATGTAGTTCACAAGGAAAAGAAGCACCCAGCTTTTTTCTATACAATATCGCAACAACAGCACTTTGTTATGCTACGAACTTAACTCGGTCTGTCTCGGGATTGGTTTCAAATAGCAAAGGCAACCGAATTGTAGCATATTTGATAGAAGGCGAGTAGATTAATCGTAATCCGTGAAAGACAATGAGTGGAGTGAGCAGCCTAACATTGTGTTGTCATCAGGAATCAAATATCACGCTTTGGGAATCATGAGCTCAAGATCTAATTGTTGAATGAATCACAGAAAACGCAAATGTGGTAAAAATCCTAGTGACACAGCCAGGAGGCTTCAGGATATCCACGTGAAAATCTAAACTGGAGCTTCTGATTTTGTGAGTTCTATCATCAACGAAAGTCCTAATGAGACCCTATTTGTAATAATTAAGGTGAGGCAATTTTTCAATGGCGCAAAGAAAGTTTTTCTCGAGGTAAACGCTGATAACAAGAGGCCAGGCGTCACTACACAAACATCTAAGGTTTATTTAACTCCCAGTAATGTTTGAATCTGTTAAAATGGGTATTACCTGAAACGATCACTTTGAACCTGCATTCGGCAAGATTTCCTTTTTTATCTTCCGCTTTGTAAATGATCACGTGCACCCCAGAGGAAAATTCTGCACCTGGTTGTTTATCGGGGAGAATTACGTTTGGCTCGAAGCCTGAGTTGTCTGTTGCAGTCGGGCGGGGCCAGTCTACTATTGCTGATGTTTTGCCTTTGTCAGCATATACCTCAATGGTATTTGAACAGTTTATGAACACTGGCGCTGAAACGTCTGAAAATGAAACAAAATTTAATACCTTGAATGAAAAAAAGTAAGTATACAAAACTAAACATAATAAAGCAAAAAAAAAAAACCGGACAAAAAAAACAAAACAAACAAATAGAAAATAAAACAAGTAAACTAGACTTTAAGCGAAGGACAAGGCAAGCTGAAAAAATTACCCATTTTAGTTTATAAAACTACAATAATCCATTCTACAACTGCACGGCTATTTGCCAACCCATTATGTGGGGTGAGGAGGAGTGATTTTAACAAAAAAATTTTTTAACGAAGAAGGAAATATGTAAGAGATATAAGTGACTAAAACACCTCTAAAAATACATTACGGTGGTACCAATGTTTAAAGTAAGGTAGATGCGAAACAAGCAGAAAACAGGTTGTCACTTTTGAAGAAAATGTCAACCCACGGTTTGGTAAGAAAAAAAAGTGATATAGAACAAAAAAACAAAACAAAACGATAATAACAACAATTATTATTACTATAAAAATAACAATAAAGACAACAATATGGAGAGAAAAAAACCTTCACACGAAGGATTTCCCTCTGATGGCTCCAGAATCTTGGATTGAGTGCATGACTTCACTACAGGTCCCTTCAATTGATAACCATCTCTGCATTCAAATACGCATAGTGTTCCGTAGGGAATAGTGCGGTTGGAATTAATACAAGAACGAGGTGTTACTTCCAACCCCTCCACGGAACCAATTTTCAATGATTCGCAGGTGATAGCTATGATTAATAAGAGATTTAAGAACATGTTGGTAAACTATTTCAATCACATTAATGCAAAGATGTAAAAAGACATTCCATTCCATTATTCAAAGCATAGCCATATGACAAAATTAAAATGATTATTCAGCTTTTTGCATATCTTTGAATACTTTAGCACAACCTTTCATTCCTTACCATTGCACTGAAGAGGATCTCCATCCCACAGCCCAGTCTCCTTACAAGTTACTCTCTTCGATCCTTTTTCAGCTTCAAATCCACGATTACAATGGAAGAAACAGTTTGTGTTGTAGCCGGGCGTGGAATCGTTGCAACCAAGACCAGACTTTGTCGTGTTAGGTGATGGCATAAGGCTAGGACATCGAACAACTAAAAGAAATGGAAACTGATCCATAATATCCCATTGCATCGCTACGTCAAGACCAAGTGATCTCTTTATCATTTCGGGCCATAGACAGTTATGCCTATACTATGAAGTCATGAAATATGGCGTCACGGTCCGATTTTTGAAAACTTAGGCTAGCCTGCATTTTAGTCCTTCATTTTTGTCTCTGGCTTTTACTGCCCTTGGGACCCAATTCACTTGAAATAGCACAGAGAGAGCATCACGTCAGCAGCAGTTTGAATGTCTCGTTTGAAATGGGTGGGGGCAATCACAATTTAAAATTGAGCTGCGATGACTTGTTTGGGGCGGTTGAGGACGCGTTTGCTATCATTATCATGAAAATTTGATGTATCGACGATTGTTTGGCATAGATAAAAAAAAAAAAAATGGACAAGTTGACCCTGAGACTGTTAGACTTTTTTTTTGGAGGGGGGGGGGCAGATCATTAGCACTCAGGGAGGGGTGGGATGCAGATGCAGTCAATCAGTACTCAGGAAGGAAGGGGGTGATGCAGAATACTATCACTCAGGCAGGGGTGGGAGATGGCTATTACTACGTAGGAAGGGGTGGGAGGTGGTTGTAGTAGCAAATGCTGCTGATTAATGGAAATTTACTGGATCACACAAGCAGTTCGGTAGAATGACTTTTTTAAGTCAGGATTTTTGCGCTGATCTGTTTCGTTTCTTTAGTTTTTTTTCTTGCGAATGCGAAACTGGCACCTAATGGACTACAATTTTTCTATCTTCTGTTGAGTCACGCCTGTGCCTTTCAAGTCGACTTGCTCTAGTGCCACATGATATTCACTGGTTATCACGAATCATACACCAGTTGCTTCATGTTTCCCTTTGTAGATGAAGCATATCGAAATTTATCTATCTTCCCTGTGTAATTGATATAATAAGGGGGTTGCGTAGACGAAAGGGATCACCGAGTTTCTGGTCCTTAGCACATAGCCTTGGCGTAGTGTTCACAAGCGTCCTCACAATTTTGACCTTTACGCTTGTAATACGTAAACATTGTTTCCAAAACAGCATGATTCCTGATATCTCCTTCTTGAGAACCCCCGTCAGCAGGACTCTGAGGAAGTTCATCCTAAATGAGTCTGCTCGGCATAGAAACGAATACTTTATCGAGTCCTGAAAAAACTCGGATAAACAAAAACTTATTTCTAACTCAAACGATCTTTGTTTATAGACAAATAATCGTGAACAAGACTGCCCTTTTGTGAAAGACAAATGAATAAAGAGGGTAAGTTTCTAAAGAAACTGTGGCGCTGCGTCAATGGGAGAGTATAACATATAATTTCGTGTTAGCAACTGAGTTGAAAACGTAAATTGGCCACTTCAAAGAGTTTCAAAGCTGAGGTTTCGAGCGTGAGCCCTTCGTCATTAGCTCTGACTTAGAGCTAACGCTCGAAACGTCAGCTTTGAAACTCTTTACGGTGGCCAATTTACGTTTTTAACTCAGTTGTTAACAAAGGCTAGAGGGGGCAATTAAAATAGAGCAAACAAACAAGCGACGGTTTAAGCTGGTCGGAGTGTGTTTCCTGACATTCGCAGGGGGTTTTATCATTAGAGATCAAAGTAGCGATAACTCAACAAATGGCTTGTAGAGAACGGTTCGTGTAGTTAGGGCTGGTGAAAACTCTTCAAATACAGTCTAGTGATAGACCAGGGTCCGTCTAAACCACCTCATTCAACAACTGTACTACTTTAAATGCAATTATAAGATGGCGGTGGAACTAAACGACGGGGAAATCAAATTAATACAACAAGTTAACTTACTCTCACAAGAAGTTTCATTTCCTTTCCAGTACACCTCATTTGTGCCTGACTTCTTGTCACACTTTCGTTCCACAGACCCAGTTAATCTGTATCCTTTGTTGCAGGCAAAGCGACAGGAACTGCCATAAACATTTCCGCAAGTACCATTTTCAAACTTCCCATTTTCAGGTGCAGGCAAAACGGAACACCGAAGAGCTAAAAATGTAACTCAGCCAAATCGAATCAATTCAAATGCTTTATTTACGTGTGCATAAGTTCAATATTTCATTTGAAGAGATAGTCTGACTCTACATCGTGAGACAAAGGATTAAACGTTTCTATATCTATGAAACCATGAAGTACAACATCGGATTCCTCTACATCCTCTAATGTAGTGTCTCTTGCTAAGCTTGCACGTGCGCTTCAATTCAAATTAACCGAGAACTTATTCATGTATTTACAATTTCATGGTTGCGTGCTGTGTATAATTAGTATCATTGTTATCATCATTAACTATACCTTGAACAGAGATTTTAAAGTTGCAGTATGCTTTGTTTCCTGTTGGATCCTCTGCTACGTAAATCACAGTGGTGATTCCCTCGGAAAATGTGTGTGGCGAAGTCAATTGGGGGTAAGACGATGAAATAACTTCACCCGAGTTGTCAGTGGCCATAGGTTTAATTAGCTCTAAGTCAAGCGTAACAGTGATTCTTCCTTCTTCGGCGATATAATTCTTTGTTTCTGATGGACAAGTCTCACCAAATGAGGGAATTTCAATATCTTAAAAGAAACAAACAAACAAACAAAAAAGCCTAAAAATCCGCTTGAAAATTGACAGCTTGAGATTAAATAACTGAATAACAAAAAGAAGATGGGCATCAAGAGAACGTGAAACATAACTAAACCTCGTTTCTTTTATTACGATATCTCGTAGGGGACACGTTTAACCAACACTAATTTGAGGAAAAAATGAATAAACAAAGATTCCCCACGAACAAGCAAAGTAAAAGAAACAAAACCAAGCCAAAAAAAAAAAAAAAAACGACTCCCTCCCTTCCCTTCTGAGATGCATATGCAAAGAACTGCGACATATAGATAGATATCGGTGTTCTTATCATAAGTTTCTTCCTGAGTGAGCTACGTAAGGCCTTAAGGGAATATATTTGGTAGATATTGAGTACATAACTCGTCTGACTACAAATAGCAGAATCTTACCTTCACAATTAGACTGGGCATATTTCCAGTGCCCATTGTCACATTCGTTTGAGTTATGGCCATTAACCTTGTAACCTGAGGCACATTCGTAGTCACATGTTTGACCATGAAGAGGTTTTGTGTTACATATTGGCGGAGTTATTTGACCATTGTCCAGCTCGCTTAAGGGTTGACATTCACGCACTGGAATATGTAACATCAGATAGTAGAAGAATGAGTAAGTGCTTATACGCCTTATGGGAAATTATCTCTTTTAAGTACCAGCTCTACCTCGAAAGGAGCACAACCAACACTGCATTCACAAAAATTAGAGCCCCGCATTTCTTAAAGATACATGCATCATTTTGTGAACTTAACGTTTCCAGCGTATGGTCCAACGTACTCTTCGGAAGTGGCCTCGACTCGACTCGACAGTTGAATCGGTCGGTAGACTAAAGTGAAAATGACGTTGGCAAACTAGGTGATATTTGAATTCATTTTAAACTCAGTTATTGAATATATCGTAAAGGAAAAATCGTCCGGACTGGTATCATTGGTTATCATGGGAGTGAACCATTTATTTTGGTGTTTTCAATTATTTGTGTCACTCTTCATGATTTATTTTCATCAACATTTACCTATTCTCTTTCTCTTAGTTTGTTTTTCCTTTTTGTTTTTTATACATTTTATTTGTTCTCTTCACAAAAAGAAACATACGTAGAGCAAGTTGGAGCATGCGAAAATTCGAATTCAGAAATCGTGTTTCTGCGACAAGCCTTATCTGCACTCAAACTCAATTTTAAGCCCTATAAATAGAAATAAAACCGATGTAGATAAATCAGATAAAAACTAACTCAAATTAATCGTAATCTTCTAGTAGCTGACTATTTCCTGGCAAGCTCGTCTAGCACACTATTCTCGAGATTACGTGTTTTTAAACAAATAAAGCTTGAAATAACACGTAACACACAACCTTCTTTGCATGCCGATTATCTGGGGAAGTCGACTGACATTTCAAATTAGCATAATTCAGAAATGTTGTTATTTTTCTTCTAGCAAGTTTACTATATTCAAATCTTTGCGCACGTGAGCACATCCCTTCAATGACCTAAATCGACTCGATTTTTGTAAAGTAAGGTCCCTAGCCTCTTGGAAGATAAAATGACTAAGGTTAAAGATCCGCCTTTACTTGGAATAGAATTTAATAGATTTGTATCACGTTACAAACATAAAACAAAAACAGCGAAAAATAACAAAACAAAACAAAACGAAAAAAAAAACTTAAATTAGATTACCTTTACACTGAAATCCGGCAATATCGCTCCATTTTCCATCGTCACAACTTATGAGCCCAGATCCAATGGGTTCATAACCTCGATCACATGTTCGAAGGCATATATCACCATGCAGTGGATTGGACTTACATTTAGAAGGAGTAATTTTACCGTTATCTGGTCCGGTCAGTCTTTCGCACCCTTTCCCTGTAAAAGTAATGACACGTCACAACTGATCGAAAAAATTATACCTAAACTCTAACGGCACACAAGGTACGCACATCCCTATTTTGTTACCAGTAAGTACCAATGGCTAGACATTGAACCTCTCCCTTTCCACTATGAGAAATTTTCTGTGCCCTTCCAAAATTCTGACATATTTTCTTTGAGGACACTATATAAATAATAATCCTCTTGTTAAGGGAAAAAAAAAAGAAAAAAGTATTGTGCTGATCCACTTGATGATCGATTTTAGGCTAACGGGGATTTTATAACTCCTACTTCGTTCTTTAGGCAAACCAACTTTATAACTGACTAGACTAAAATTCAATAACAATTAAAAATATAAACTTATATGTATCCTTCCCACTAAGCAACCGAATTTGTTATAAAACTGTTATGCATTGGGCACAAACCTCCCACTTCAAAGGGCATGTTCTTTTAATGTGTACGAAAAGTGGGGAAAATTTGGAAGTCTCCCGCAAAAGTTTTACAAACCATATCTGGGCTCCTGGTATAAAGAAAATAATATTCTTTGTGAGTGCTAACAAATCAATCCGATAGCATCTGCAACAACAAAACTCGAATGGCCTGAAAATTGAGAAAACAAAATGAATACACTTACTCTCGCAGCTCTTTGAGTCTTCCGCCGAAAGTCTAAAGCCTCTTTTGCAAGAACAAACGAAAGTGAGTGGACTGACTGTATGATCGTGATTGTGACAATCATGCTGACATCCGTCCAATCCACGGATACACTCATCGCAGTCTCTCGTCTTCGTAGAACTCCCCTGACAATCAGCTCCACCATGGGCCGGGGATGGATTGTCACAATTTCGTTTTCTGGTCAATAACCCATTACAACAAGGAGTGTCATCCCAGCTGCTTGGCTCCAAGGAACTCCAACCGCCATCTCTTGGCTCTAGAGATTTAAGTAGCGAAATTAATATCAATTATGCAACCTTTAGTACGAATGTATTACTATTCAATAACTAACAAAGTAATTTCACGTTAAAAAATAAAATAATAAATAGATAATAAAAATATACTGAAAAACATCTTAGCTCGATTAACCACTCACCAGAGCAACGGGATGATTAGATTCAGCCGAACAATTTGCATGGCTGAAACAGTTTACCTTCCAGTTAACGCACAAAATAATACTTCTCCAATTGAATGCAGCCTTCTAGCCTTCTCAGCTATTTTTCCGTCCTATCATACTTTGTTGCCAGCAATTCAGAAGCACTTTTCTTTAAGTTATTTCGGATTACTCTGACCGGTGCCTCGCAAAACAACCTCAAAGTATACGATAAAAGGTGTCTATGAACATTCCATGATTAGTTATTGTGAGGTGAATGTTAGCGAGACAATTTATCGACCGGCGCAAGATGAATGTAACTTACCGGGTCCTGGTCCACAGTTATCTGACAAAAGAATAGCACCAACCACAATTACTGGAATCACAGCGGGACCACAAGCATCCACAGAATATTGCTTAAATCCGAATGTTAACCATAAGAGAATGATGGTATATTTCCCGCCAGGTTTCAGATCCATCCCTAAAGGAACAATTCAAAAACGAAAACGAAAACGAAAGCGCTCGTCTACATTTGCATAGCTATTTACAGCAATTTTCTTTTGTTACGGTATAATCTAACCGACAGAAGAACACTACGAACCCACAATCTCAACCACTTTATTAAACAGCGAGTAATGTTCTCAACAAAGTGCGACTTCTAAACAATTACAATACTTATCGATAATAAACTTAACACAGGTTATATCCTAGCTCACGACTGGCACAACCTCAAAAAGAAATAAGTAATCTTCCGCAGTAACTCTCTCTCGTAATAGCTTTCAAAACGGTCGTCGCTCCGACAACGACCACTTCTACTACTACATGAATGAGTTTTTACATATATTTGCAAAGTGTTCTGGAACATTCCAGAAGCTTACCTAAGAACTATTTTAGTAGTATTACCTAATATTACCGAGAAAGTTCTGCGATATGCAAGTCAGCAAGACTCAGCACTCATAACACTTTAGTAAAGAAAGCTGAGTGAGATGCTAAAAATATTCAATTCAATCCTACTATCGATATCTACACTATACGTAATGTAAAATGTAAAATCCTCAGAGATAACTGGATTTATTCTAGAGGCACTCATGGCGTCCCTTTCTTATCTGACAACTGAGTTTCGAAAGTGATCATTGAAATAAAGTCGTGTTTTTCAATTTCTCTCTAACCTTTCCATGCTAACATAGAGGTTGGGAATGTTTGGTTTTTTTCTTTGTCCGTTGTTAAAACAAAGATCTTTTTAGGTATCGTTGCTGCGTTGCACAAACACAATCATGATAGTTCAGCATTTGTATTGTCTTTTTCCCCTATGCTAAAAAAGCAGCAGGCTTTTTCGATCGAGCCAAACAAATCAGGAATGAATATATATATATATATATATATATATATATATATGTATGTATATGGCTTATGGATACCGAACCCTTAAACATCATTTTCCTCCCATAATTATGGGTGACTGAAGCCAGAGAATCTCTCGTCCTAGACACAATTCCAAATACACGTTGTATATTCATCATCACATCAGTAGAAATCGGTTTTTGTTCAAAGCAATGGGGGCTAATGCTCAAATCAAACGTTGGAAATCTCACCAGTAATGATATCTTGTCTTTACGATACTGCTTAGTCCTATGTCTCGACGTCCGTCCAGTCTTTATCGTGGTAAATATCTTTCAGCGGAGAAAGTTATGCGCTCTTAATTGCAAGACAGAATGAAAAATTAAATATGACGTTTGATTAAGCAAATTCAATCAATCCATCGCGTAGTAGCCAAAATTGGTCACAGTTCTTCGCTACATAACTCAAAAACTTCTCGTTACCTTTCTTGCAGAAATTCTCGTTTATCAATAGTCCTAGTGAGCCAAAAGCTTCACGACTGAGCTTAAACTTCTGAAATATCGTGACGGAAACGAGTCGCTTAATTATTCATGAACTGTCTCGAGCACTTTTGTTTGTTTTCTTTAGTGCTGAAACGGGGCGAAGTAATAGCCACCGGTCAATAATTATATTCTGACTGGCCGGTAAACATCTTAAAAATCAGTCTTGTTGGATCTAGATTATTCGCCAGATTCGCTTGTCAACCCGACGTTAACTATGATAAAACATATTTGAGGCCGTTTTTGGAGCTGATCAACACACCTTGTGAACAAAGTGAAAATGGTTAGTCAAAATTCATCCTTCGTGTATGTGTAAATAGACTAGTTAAGTGTATTTTACAAATATGTTGTAGCGGAGTAATTTTCGTGCGAGGGTCCATTCCAGTGTTACCTAACTCACTAAAAGGAGAAACTCTTTGATCAGTCAGTTGTTCAGAGTTTGACCGTTAAAAGTATCCCTGAGCTATTTTTGACTTGTTATTCGCTTCCCCTTCTGACATTTTTTCTTTCTCGTTTCACCTTTTGTTTGCCAACGTCAGCAACTATCGGTCTGTTCATACAGCAGTTTTTGAACGACAATGTTACAAAAATGTAAACATAATTTTCCAAGCGGTAAAGTCATTTGAGAGATACTGACTCAAATCAGCTTGCAAGAGAGCACTATTGCTATTGAATACAAGGCATTTGACACAGAAACTTGCCGGAAAGGAAGTAATCGACGGTCGGATGGTGGAGGAAAAATATTTCTCTGATAGGAAGTCCTTCATTCCATTTACGGAAAACCCTGTTTTATTATCTGCCTGAGATATGAAACTACGTTCTAAGCCTTCCTAAGGTAACAACAAGAAGGATGTCTTGGGGAAAAAGCCGCAGAGAAACTTTTCTTCCATCTCACTCTTCCCACCGAGCAAGATCACCCCTTAAAGCAAATACACCGTACTAAAACATTTTCATTCTCTTTCTGTATCGACTCAGGAACGATTTATGAAGATGACGAATATTCTTTGGTGGATAAAGATGGCGTCAGTGTTTCTGATGAACAGTTCACGATTAGATGGAGGTAAATTTTGCATTATAATAGTGCCCGCTAAAATTAGATTTTCTCGAGACGCCACCTTGTCTGTTCTTTTGTGTTGTGTGCACTGACCGTGAAAATACGCTAAGGCATGCTTGAATCTCGTGATTAAAGGCAATAAAAGACGTAGACGATAACGGGGCGGGGGGGGGGGGGGTGACCATTGTCATTATAATCATATATAATAAGATTGGTAATGTTTTGCAAGAAAACCTGAATTATAGACAAATGGGATTCCAAATGCCACTGTTGCTTATTACTGGTCTCACAAAGTGATGAATAGGATCTAAAAGAGAGTTTAGTCTGCAGACATTTTTTGCGAACTTTTGGTTTCGAGATTTACATTTCATCCTTTGATGTAGACCGTTTGTTCTTTTACTATTTCATCACGATAAACCCTTGTTTGAGAGCGCTTTGACTTTCCAGGCATCCTTAATGCTTGGAAACACTTTTTTGTAGATATCACTTGGTCAGTTATCTGCACTAATTCGGACAACTGTATGCATCACTTCGCAAGTTATGTGAACCGATTCAATCACTAGTAATCAGGACTTGGATTGTCATACGAGCTTAAATCAGCTGCGTTGTCAGCCTGATAACACGCCACACTCAGAAACATCACTTGATCAGTTCGGTTGTTAATAAGATACTACGGTAGTTATACGGGCTCATACGATTGATTTAAAATCTCTCTCTTTTGTGCACTTATTACCTTATTCGAAACCATTTTGATATTGCATTGTCGCGTTGAATCTGCCTTCCACAACTAAGGCCTACTCTGAGACCTTAAGCTGACTTAAGTCGCCTTAAGTCGCCTTAATTATAAGTCGCCTTAAATCGCCCAAAGTCGCCTAAAGTTACGGCGACTTAAAGTCCCAGAGTAGACCTCAACTAGTTAAACATCCCACGCTTCTGGGATTCGTGTTCATTTGATGTTCGTTCTCCTTTTCATAACTATAATTTGTACGTAGTTTTTACCGATTTGAGAGAGCAGGTCGTTTTTGGATTTGAAGTGAATTTCTCAATAGTTTTGGGTATCTGTGTTATTAAAATTGTTTACTTCATTTACATCTAAATTTTACTTCACGGATCGGCTATTTTATAAAACCACAGGGGTAATTGAGAATTTTACATGTAATTTCTCAATTCAGAAATTTTAGGGTTTCTCTTGTTTACAATTAAGATTATCGCATCATAAAAGGAAAAGAAATAAAATCTTCACCGTTAAAAAGGCCCAATTTAAACTTATCACGCTGAGTAAATGCTGCTGCTTAAGCTACTATTGCCTTTAGCACCAAATGAGGGTTTCGCAGTTACTCAATGGCATGTATCATAAACTTAACATCTGATATCGTTTCTATGAGTATTATTATATAATATTGTTAGTATAATTTCCTGTTCATAAATTCTGTTGAACAAAAAGCCGACTGTGTTTGTAGCACTAGCATTTATGGTTCTTTGTTTTTTGCGTCTCCATCGCCTACAATTTCCTAAAATTACGAACTTTGTATGTTCGCTCTATGCGGCTCCACACAATGTTTATCTTGCGTGGGATGAAAAGGGGCAATCCCGAGCGGGTAAGATGGGCCCAATCAGATGACGCAGAGTCCAATCAGAGCACAGGATTTGTTTGGTATTGCCGGCCCACGGGCGCTGCCAGCGATAAAGTAATCAGTAATCTAGTTTGGTCCAATACACTTTCTCCATTTTTACGGCTTGGAATTTTTCTATTCGTAGCATTAATTTGCACTCCACCATGTTTGTTGGTATCAAACACAACTGATATAGTAGCAGTGGACTATGGAAAAGCACAGGTAAACTCAATGATTCTAAGCCTTACAAGAGCTGTTGCCTTAGACGTCCATTTAAGCTTGGGCTTCATATTTTGGAGTGACGTGACGGAACTGAACATCAAACGATTTCGGATTGATGTGGAAAGCACGACTACAGTTATTACCAATATTGGTTTCTGCTATGGACTAGCTGTTCAATGGAGGACATCTCAGTTGTATTGGACTGATACAACGTATAATAGTATATCGGTATCAGACTTGGATGGAAACAACCAACTTACTTTAATCTCTTCGGCATTGGAAGAGCCCAGAGCAATAGCCCTTGATCCGGACAGCGAGTAAGTGTCATATTCGTGCGATTTATAATTACATTAATACACAGATTTAGCCAAGCCTTAAAGGGGAGCTCTTGTTAGTTTATTTTCCAGCCCTTCATTATAGTGAAAAACAACAACAACAAAAAAAAAAACCTTTTTTGCACTGGTTGTAGAAGAGTTTCTTCAAGGGGACTAGAGACTTGTTCGGGGGATGGGGAAGGGGGGAAGAATTGACGAAGTCTGGGGCCTCGGGACGGTGTTCTCACAACTTGAAAAGCGATGAACACGCATGCCAGTCAGAGGTATCTTCAAACAGCTTAGGATCTTCGTCGTTGCTCGTGATGTTTTGAGCAAATAGTAATAAGTAGGGAATGTTTTCTTCTTCAGATGACGTGTATGTTGTCAGCATTACTTGAAATTATATTCTATTGAGCGTGACTTAAAATTTCGGTTTGGTAAAGTGAGCCAAAATTGAAAGAAACGACGGTGAACTACTTTGTGTTTAAACAGTGAGCCAGTGAAACAATAGGCCAGAATGGTATAGGCTTCTCTTATATCTTCTCTCGAAGTTGCCAGGTATGACTGCTTACCCCACCGTTTTTCCTTAACGTTTCAATCTCCTCTGTTTAGCGTAGAAAATTGAAAAGAAAAGTAATTTTCAACTTGTATTTGAACCTGTAATTTTTTGGAACTTTCATGATTGTTCTCTGGCTGGAAATACACGACGTCTTTTTAATATTTTTTCAATTATTTAATTCGGTAATCTCTGCTGTAACTGCACATGATGTGGGTGTCAAAGAAAACTTAAGATAATAATACCAAGATTTCATTTTTACATCACAAAAATCAATTCCAAACATCGATCAAGTTTTCTCTTTAGTTTAAAAGTTGAGTTGATGTTGTTATTGGCTATATTAAATAGGTTGAAAAGTTTTAGATGGTATTTTCTCATGTTTGCAAATAATTGAATTTACTGGAAGGTGGAGTTGTTGCAACATGTTAACATGAAACACAATACAACCACAGGTTCAAGAAATTTCCACAACTAATTTTAAGACTGGCCTACCTAGAAAATTCACCTTCATGTACAAATTAGACCAGGTTTGTACTAATAACGCCCAAAAGAACTATCTGTGGTAAGAGGAAAGTCTTTTCTTTCTTCAGTTAAAGAAATATTGAGGTTATCATCTTTCCACAAGTTTAGTGGAAAGTAAGAGTAAATGAGACCGATAGTGAATATGTTATTTGAATAAACATCCAGAGGAGGATAAAAAGTAAGATATGGTCTGCATAACTCCCCTTTTTAAATGTTTAACTTGTAAAACTGAGGCATTTCTATTCTTGCTTTGTGCATTATGTGGACGCCAATTGATTTAACTTTCATGCGTTAAAATACAAAAATGTTCCCTTCATTTATGTGCCCTAAACATTGCAGGGTAGGCGACAGGCCAAAGTAAAAACATCAAACAAAATAGGAGGGCCCCCATTAATTTCAGTCCTAATTAAAGGAGGTTCCTTGCATTTTCAGATTCCCTGACCCTCGCTTATCTTGTGACCAATTCGTTATATCAATGTTTAGTTTGGGTATGAGTATTGGTAAGAAACACCGTGCATTAAATTTTTTGTAATCACACAATTCCAAACAGACGGAGTCAGGTTATTGACTCACTTGCTTCAACTTTTGAGGGCGCAAGGTACAGAAATAGATATGGTAAACAGTAACAATTAATACAGAGTTGACAGTTTAAAAGTTAAAAGATATAAATTACAATCATCAGACCCTATGTATCCTTGCAGAAAAAGGGTCAATTACCACCAGAACTTCTCCCTAACCTTCATGCTTACAGGAAATCATTAATTTTTGTTACCAGATGATACTGTACTTACAATAGTTCTACCGAACTAGGTACCGATACAAATGCATTTTCCTAAAGTTATCTTATAGCATATGACTGTTCAGGTCATGTGGAGGGTTCCTGCATGGTAACTAACATTTCAATTATCTCAACAAACTGTAATCATCAGAATTGCAAGCCAAGGTGTATTTACCAAGTGCTCAAGTTTTCAAATCAGTCACGTAATTGTTACAGTGGAGTTCACTCCTTTTTGAGGCAATCTCGAGCTTGATCATCCTGTTACATGTAAAAATATCAATGTTACTCACATATTCAAATAATTACCAGAACCAAAATGTGTTTTCCCTGTTTCAGACATTCTAAATATCACAAATCAACCATACCACCACTTTGGTTTGATTTTTTTTAGGATGTGTACTTTTTCTTATGGACATCCATTTTTAGTATCTATTGTTTACCATCTGACATCTGAGAAGAATTCACACTGCTTCACTCACACAACTGACATGTATGAGTGAACCATGCCAAGCATTAAGTAATGATTGTCAAAGAAAAGCACTTCCCATGAAAATTTAAACATTTAAAAGAAATAAGCTACCAGCAACTGAGGTTTTGATCCATTGTAAGTGTTTCATAAGATCAGACTCTCATCACATTTTTTTGTTACATTTAAAAGGAAAAGAATATTTTAATCATTTCAATATAATGAAATCCCCTATTTTAACCCTTAGAGTCTTACTTAAGTGACTAAGACAGAATTTCTCCTTACACTATCAGTACAATATCTAGCTGACAAGTAATGAGAATAAAGAAAATATCAATCTGGGGATTATTGATTGATCCAATTCCAAATTCTCCAAACTAGCATGACATAAATTGCATGGCAGATAGCAAGGAGAATTAAGAGAAATAAGCTAATATCTTTGCTGGTAGCTTAATTATGTCTTTTGAATGTTTACATCTTCATGGGAAATGCTTTTTCTTTTAAAACAGGGATACAGAAGTTTTCAAAGCTAATAGAAATAAGCTGTTTGCAAGTAATAAAAAGCAAGTTGACAATCATACCATAATGCTTGACATGCGTCACTCATATATGTCAGTTGTGTGTTAATACCTACCATTGAGGAGATTTCCTAAAACATATTTTGGTGTGGCTTAACCCTTAATTTCGATGAGTTTGAAACTTCATTCTACACAATAACACTTTACCCTAACAAAAATAGTGCCTATTTTATATCTATTTTAATTTTTTCTCTATTTTTCCAGACTATTTTAAAGCTGTTTTTTGACTGTTTTAAACTTTTTATTTTGCAAAAAAAAAAAAGTAAAAAAAAATAGCCTGGTTGGCAAGTCATATCTACTGCATAGATAGCTTTAAAATAGCTTTAAAATAGAGAAAATGTGTATGCGATTTGATAATAAAATAGGATTAAAATAGCATTAATGAAACATTAGTTATACATAAAATGGGCATAAAACAGGGATAAAATAGAGAAAAAATACACAAAAAAAAGGGAAAAATTAGGGGAAAAAATAGGGAAAAAATACACAAAAAATAGAGAAAAAATACGCAAAAAATACATAAAAAATAGGGGAAATACATAAAAAAAGGGAAAAATAGGGAAAAATAGGATAGAAATACATTTAAGATAGGTTTAAAATATACATAAAATAGAAAAAAAAAGAGGAATAAAACATATAAAAAATAGGTCTAAGAGACATAATATAGACATAAAATAGGGATAAAATAGGAAAAAACTTGAAAAAGTAGGATAAAAATATACTTAGAATAGGTTTAAAATAGAGCCTCATGTATATGCAATTCCTGGGAAAAAATGTAATTCCTGGGAATAAGAAGAGTGAATTTTCATGGTAAATTTGAAATGGGACTTCCCAACTGTAATAACACAGGTTCTAAAAACCTAGAAATTCCAAGTTAATAGCCAACAGGACTTTAAATTCCTAGGAATTCCCTGGAATTTCAACTCGGAGCACCACGACTTTCCCTAAAAGGCTGTAAATCCAAAAACTTGCCAAAAATTCCTTGGATTTTTCAGGAATTTCTAGGAATGTTTAAGAATTACTGGGAATTTTAAGCAAAAATTGAGGCAACTCACATGAAATAAATACTGAAATTTAAAAAAATCCCAACTAAAAAAATTCAAGTATTCAATGAAATTTATATACATGCAGGTTTACATGTAAAATATTTTTGATCGTAAATCAACATCAACAAGTAGTAATATTAGGATGGAATTTTATTTCTTTTTCTTCTCTTGAAAACTTTATAAGAATTATCCTCAATTACAGCTATTCATAAAAAATATTCCTAATCAATCATTAAATTTGGTTTGACACAAATTGTGAATAAAATCTTCCGATGCTTTTCCATAAAATACAATAACTTGAATTATATTTACTACAATAAATACTATCAGACAAAAAATAGTCTTTAAATAAATCATTTAATCTTGGATGATGATACAAATGGTATTTAACCCCTTTTCTTCTAGAGTCAAGCCTTGACTTGATTTTATGTGGTGGTAACTTCTTTGGAAAAACCTCTTGTGCGTGAACACTCAAATGTAAGCTTTCAAGTAGCACTTTCATGTTTTACTGTTTGTTTTTACGGATTCTGCACATTGAAATTGAAAGATTTCTTCTCAATTTTGACTTAGCACTCTTGGGAGTGAAGGGGCTAATTACAGTCAAATAAAAATGATTTTTTAAATTAAAAATCTTATTGAAACTGTAACTATAAATTACAATGAAGTTATCCTAAATTGCAGACTTAACTGCTGTTTGTCTTTTTTCCTGGGCTTGCAGCTTTCTCTGTTGGCCTCGAATGAGGTTGTCCACAAGAAGCCTTTCCATTTTATGTCTGGATTCCATGGCATGAAAAAATAAATGCGCTTAGACAAGGCCTTAGATGGCTATGAGGAAAAGGGCATTCACTGGAATCCTAATTTAACAAAGTGCACTGGGAGTGGGAATTCTCTGCCATATTGAATGATTTTTATATTGGAGTTTGCACATCTCTTCCATAGATTTTACTAAAAAGGAGCTGAACACTTTATTTTGTTTTTATCAAGGAGGGCTTTTTTATGTAATCAGGTTTGATTAATCACAGTTTGTATTATGAATCTAAAATGTTCCAAAACGTGA